AGACAGCATGGTTCAGTCTGAATATACTCCACCAACTCCAATCAATGAAGTTAAAACAAAGAAGAATTAACGTTAAAGCTTAGAGGATTTGGACAAACCAGCCATTGAGGAACGAAAGCACATCCAGTAGATACTCTTCCACAATGAAACGATCTACCGGTTGCATATCCTGCCACCGAATTCAGGGGAAATGGATCAGCAAACAAATATTTGACACAGCAAATTCAAATAGTAAACACTGAAGCGTTGAACCCCCTGTCATTGATGCATATAATTATATATCTAAGTTCTAACTGAAAACATCATATAAGAATCGAACCTTTTAACTTGCAGTTCGAACGTATTATATACCACGGAACACCCGAAGTTTATCATTGATGCATTCTGCCTTCCGAATTTTCAGTGTCTATCTAACCAACTGAATGCTACACTTTGAAGGTAACAATACCTTGGATAGCTGGGAAAACGCCCAAAGCTTCATTTTTACTTTATTCATGTATATTCTAAACAAAAAATGGTCCATTTCCAATATCCCTTTGAAACCTAGGAGAAAAGGTTCAACTGGATTCCAATGACATGTGACCTTAGTGAAAGAAGTCCTTGCTCTATCAAAATGAGACCGAAGTCTGAAAATTACATAAAGGCCACAAAATTGTATCGCAACCTAGGAAAAAAAGGTTCAACTGCATTCCAATGACATGTAACCTCTGTAAAAGTCCTCATTCTATCAAAATGAGACTGAATTCTAAAAATTACAAAAGGCAATCAAAATTATTGTCGCAACAGAAAGACAGCCAAATTAGATAGGTTGCGGAAATTTATACAGATACCCTCCTCACTTCTGCTGGAAGACTATCTTGTAATCAGGTATTCGTACTATTCGTATATTAATATTTTGGAGTTAAGAAATTGCGTATAAGATGTAGAAAATTACTTCAACAAAAAAAAAAAAAAAAAAGCAAGTCACCAACACACCATTAAACCCCATAAATAAACAAGTCATCTGTTGTGAACTACCTCACTTTTACCCGTCGGAAATATATTTAGCCTTCGTATCCTTTGAGGATACCTTAATTCTGCATTGTGCTTCTCTCTGCCATAGGTTACCCCAGAAAGTTGTGACAACGGTTCAGGTTGCTCCGGTGCATTTATGGGCCCAAACTCATGAGCCTTTCCACCAACCAATTGAGCTTCAAATGCCAGGTGAGGTCTGGGAACTGAAAGCAAATATTGATGAATGAAGAACATGCTACTAAGTGAATCGATAGAAACTACAACATTAAGACTCTAGGGAGAGTATAGCGTTTAATTCAAACAGCTTTCATTCTTATTATTTGTCAATGCACAGCTATTAGCGATCTTTGCATAAAGTTATCCCCTCAACCAAACGTTACAGAGGTTTCAAAGGAAGAAATTTCTCACAAGATTTACAATCCTACTGCCCCATAACTCAGAAGTAATTATTTAAAGTTCCGAAACACATCTACTATCCAGAGAGAGAGAGAGAGAGAGAGAGAGGATGGCCTACCACTGTCAGCTTTCCATCCATTACTAGATAGGAACTTTATTCGATCCCACAAATCCTCCAAGAAGTCCTACAGAAAATAGCATGGATATTTTGATCAGGAATCATGATTAATTGAAAGAATAAAGCATTATTAACAGATTCTAAATTCAAGATCAAGCTCCAAATGTCTTGAGATAATGAACAAGGACTCCTTGAACTGCGATTGCAGAAGGTCCCTTTTACAGTTCCACCCCGGCAAAAAAATCCTGTTGCAAAAATTTCTGATATATTGTACCTTTTCACCTGCGCTTAAATCATCATCCTCCTCAAAAAAGGATAAGCCAGTGTCTGCATTATGACTTCTAATGCTCAAATACGCCTCTACGCCAACCATAACTCTCTCCATCTCCTCAGGAACTTGCTGCACATAAATTGCTACAGTTAGCATTTGAAACGGTTTATAATGAGGGTTAACTATGAAGAAAAGAAAGCTTTCTAATTTTAGTTCTGCTGTAGCAGAAGAGCAAGGGGAAAGGAAACAACTGGATGAAAGCCAAACACACAAGATTGATAAGGCATGTTCTAAATCTTATGCAGCCTTTCAGGATATGGTCACTAAATCACTATCGGTGAACTTTATGAACAGGACTGAAGAATAAGTAGACTACGTGGATAGTTCCATAGCCACAGTCTAAGCTCCATATATAGCTAATTCGATGCAGGGAATGCAATACACATATCAGACCTTAACAGTTTTGGCAGCACTTAAAATTCCTGCAAGCTCAAACATGACCAAATGAAATCCACATTGAGATAGCAGCAACGATAGACTTAGATCTGTGGTCATAGATAAGTGTCAGGGAAATTTTCACAGGGCAGGATTTATCCGGGAGACAAAAGTAAAACAGACTACTTATTTTGTCGAAAGCCAAGTTGTAGAAAACTAAAATATCCCCATACAACCAAAATAAATTTGTGTTTGGAAAAATAATAAAGAAAATGATAACTAACTATTAAGCAAAGTTCACCAAGAGATCTACCAAGCACCTAATTGGGCATTTACCTCAGCAAGTTCTGATCCACCCCATGGAAGGCAAGATAATATGCAAGTTACAAAGAAGTCACCACGAGCTTGCCAAGAAGGATTTCCCTTCTCTTCATCAACTGTGGTGGCAGCAGAAGACAGCAATGTTTCAAAAACAACCGCAAGGGAAGCAGGCTGGAGAACTTTACTACACATCTGTAAAGGAGAAAAGAGAATCATGTCACCAAGTTTTCTGTGTTGCTTAGAAATGATACATAGCATCCATGTAATACCATCAGATCAGGCAAAATAGAATATCAGTTTCCTTGCTCGAAATACAAATTACAAAAGGTAATTTAGTTTGGTAAGTTGCACATAACATAATTATCCTGACTCAATAAAGAAAGCAACCTGAATAGGTTTTCGACTTCCAAGTTCCAACACACTCGCGCACACAGACAAAGACAAACAAAGACCCGCATCCTAATTCTTTCATGTAAAAAGAGGAACTCTATAGAGCAAAACCTTCACAAACGGGAGATCAATGTTAACAGTTAATCACTTTTATGCACATACCAGAGCAGTTAGAAATCGCATCAGAACACGAATCCTGTCGCAATTGCCAGAATCGATTGCCTCCTGAAATGTTCAACAATGAGGAATAAGGAAAGTACTATGTAAAACAGTAACATTTTCCAAACACTAAAACCAGAATCAAGAACTAGATTTACAAAATTAAAGTAGTTCCAAAGATAGCACCATCAAAGCACAGACTTTTTTTTTCAGTTAGAAGTCGAAGTGGAAAACCGAAAATAGCAAAACCTGCAGGACTATTCTCTCTCTATCTATTGTTTATGTAAGAACAAATATATGTCTCCGTGGTTCTTAGAACCCGTCTAAACAACAATGTGCCATCTACATAACTGGAAATTGGTCATCCAGCAAAATGTAAAAGGGTCCAAGATCCAGAATGTAATAGCGACTCTAGAAGTACTTCATAAAGAAAAAGAGAGATTCACATAGTGACTCCAGAAGTAAACATGGCAACGATAAAAAGGGGAAAAGAGAAATGCTCAACCTGAAAACGAGTCTGAGTAGTCTCGACTATTCCCTTTACGAAGTCCTCATTTTCCAGGTTCAACAAGCCAATCTGCGATAGAAGAGCAAAAGCACAAGATCAACCTATCACAAATACTCAATCCTTACAAATCTCACCCTCGAAACTGTATACACATGGTCCTAGTACTACTATTTGGCCCCTCAAGTTATCACTAAACACAACCCGAAATGATTCTGCTACTATCAATACAAGAAGAACATAAAGTGGCATGAAAAACTGGATTAGTACTCAGAAGCAACAAAAAAAAAAAAAAAAACCCTTGAGATACAGAATTTTCAATCAGACCTAGTAAGGACATACTGTTCTTCAGATTTGAGGCAAGGTACAATCCAAAAGCAGATAGTGCATACATGATAGACACTGACTAGTCAATATATTCGAGAAGCAAAGAGCAAGGAGGCCTTTAGAAGCACTAACCACAGTTCCAAGCAGCGGAATCTTGTGAGGCAAACCTTCGGCACATTCGATAAGGAACTGTGAAACACCAACAACAAAAAAATGTAAGCTGTACGTCTCCATTCTCCACCAGGAATCGCAATAGGATATGAGCAAAAATATCAAACCCTACACAATCGCAATTCACAAGAACAACAGCAAAATTCACCGTACATTTGAAATATCGCCGGCGGAGTGCTCCAACTCTCGCCGAACAACTCCATAACACGTTTCCTGCACATTACCAACACCAAAACCGCGTGGTTACAATCCAATGCTTACTTACCGAAACGAATGACAGGATAAACGAGATATAAGTGGTCAGAGTGAGTTAGGGTTTAGCGTGAAGCAGAGGAAGAATGAGAAGAAAGAAGAGAGGAGAGAGAGAGGAAATCGGAGCTACGAACAATGTGTTCTTTGACGTCGGCGCTGCCGCCGTACTCCGGGCACTTGTTGCCGATTCGTAGAAGAAGGGTTCTCCAACTGCTCATCGTTTCTTCCCAATACCTCTCGCCGTCGATGACGAAGTGACCGTGAAGAGGAATTGAATTTGCAGAGCAGGGTTTAATGGTCTCCAAAGACTGCAGTTGGTAACGTCGTTGAAATGCAAAGGAAAAGCATGGTCGGTCCCTAAATTTGACGAGAGTAACATTTTCCTCCCTAGTAATTCAGGGAGCTTGTTTTTTAACCCTGGTTGTTTGTATACCTCATGATATCCAGATACCAAAATAATAGGGTGAATGCTATTGAGATTACTAAATCGTGTCGTTTTTAGTCACTAGAAAAATTTAATATCAATTTGGTCATTCGAATTACTGGAACATGTCACATTTAGTCACTCTCTCCCGTTAATTCTCGTCCAACTCCAGTCACTCGAATTCCTGCAACATGTCACATTTAGTCACTCGAATTACTGAAACATGTCACATTTAGTCAGTCTCACGTTAGTTCCCGTCCAACTCCATTAATGGAGTTTGACTAATGGAGTTGGACCGAGGCTAACGGAAGAGTGACTAAATGTGACCTGTTTCGGTAATTCGAGTGACCAAAATTGATATTAAAATTTTCTAATGACTAAGCATGACACGATTTAGTAATCTTTTAGTGACATTACCACAAAATAATATTAGCGAAATATTATCTTGCAATAATCTATTGTCCATCTTAGTGTGCGTTTGACATTTATAACTCTCACGACGATCACATTGTATCGTTGGACTAAAACCGAAACCGCTAACCCTGGACTAAAACCCAACCCACGAGAAGTGGTTCATAACTCGTGAATTCGACCTGTTGCTTGACGTGCCTTCCCCTGCTAGGTTTATATGTGACTCGAACAACCCTGATCTCATTATCATCTATATATCGGAGCAAATTCGATCTTGTTTGATACGTAAATGTAACCACTCACAAACTCAACTCGCGCCATGATTCATAATCGACAGAAGCGAAGAAGTAGCAGATTCAACAGGAACTACACCACACATTAAACATCACACAATTCAGTTACATTGTTCTTCACCTACACAAACACTCCACAAAAGGGATTTTTATTCATTATTCCACACTCCTTTTCACAAACTCCCCTTCAAAGCTCCAAAACACTCATAATCACAGCCACACTTCTAGTAAAAACTACACACCAATAACCTCCGAGGAAGGAGTGAAGAAGTACATGTCACCAAGCCTATCATTGCTAGGCGAATTCCCACCATACACCAACAAACCTTTCTCTCCGTTCATCTCCCCGCCGGCGAAAGCACACCATCCCCGCGGACCCGGATGGCTCTCGCTACCGCCGCCGCCATCCTCCAGCCGCTTCCACGACAACGTCTCGGTGTCCAATGCATAAGCATCTCCGGCGAACATCCCGGCGCCCATATGCCCCAAGTCACTGGGATCAACTTCCCCTCCATAGATCACTATGTACTTCCCAATCCCAAGAGTAGAGAAAACACTCCTCGCAGTGGGCTTTTCCCCCGCGGTATCCACATGGGCCCATTTCTTCTGGGCCGGATCGTAGCAATGCACGTCGTCCACTTCCATCCCTGCAAACCCATACACGACCCAAATCTTCCCTTGGGCCACAACGAGCCCAGGCCCGCCTCGCCCCTTGCATCCCTCTCCCGGGCTCGGGTACCCGACCCACTTCCCCTCCACCACGTCGTAACCCCACAGATCGTTCAGCCGGCCGTCGACGCCGCACCCGCCGAAGACGTACACGTGGCGGTCGTCCGCCGCGGTGGAGTGGTAGCTCCGGTTGGCCGGCCCGGCGTCTCCGCTCGAGAGCAAGGTCCACTGGCTGGTTTCCGTGTCGAAGGCGTAGAGCTCGTTCAGCTCGTTGTGCTCGGTGTCCCTGCCGCCGAAGACGTAGATCGTCTTGCCGACGGCGGCCATCGTGACCCCGACTCGCGGCGGGGGGACGTCGCCGGTGGTTTCGGGAGCCGACCAGGTGAGGGTTTTGAGATCGAAGGCGTAGATCTGATTGTCCACGGGGACGCGTGGTGCGAACTCGCCGCCGAACGCGTAGGCCTTGTCGCCGACTAGGGCGACGGCGTGGGAGCTACGTGCGCCTGGCCCTTTGCCTTCCTGTTCGAGCTGGAACAAGGGGGAAATTGGGGATTCAGATTTACCAGATGGAAAAAATTGGGCGTTAGGGTTTCAATCTTGGAGAATTGGGATTGGATTTGGAACAGTAAAAAAGGGGAAATTGATGGGTAAAAGAAGCTGTTGAAGACCAGAGAGAACAAACCTTGACCCATTTGCCGTTGAGCGCAGCCATTTCTATCAGTGGAGAGCTCTGTGCTTGATTGATTGATCCCACCAGCGGAAGAATGCAACGACTTTCTGAAATGAAAATGATCGAGCCAATTATTCTTTCCCCAACCCAACTACTGTGAAGGTTGTCGCCTTTTATTTTGTATTTTTGTTTCTATACGGCTGGTTTGGTTTCTGTTTCTCGTTAAAATTTAAAACAAACCAGGTTATAAAGATAATCAAAAGCCCAATCTAGAGAGTATGGCCATCCACCATTTGGGCCCAAAAGCCAGGCCCATCTAACAAATGTCAAACATCAGATAATTAACCCTATCAATACACACGCTTTCGGCGTCCAAATCGTGATTCCCACCACGTCACAAAATTGAAAAAAAGCTCGACTTAATCAACTAGCCGTTGAGGGGGAAAGCTCGGGGAGATCGTAACGTTCGGGAAAGAAAGAAAACCCGACCCGCGTCGTCCTTTCGCCCGGAACTGAGGGTCCATTTCTTATATAAATCCCGCCGCACCCTGCTACTTCCGACGCTCCTCTCTCTCTCTCTTTACTTCATTTCTCTCTCTCTCTCTCTTCTCGCCGCCGGACTTGCGGAAGGAAAGAAGGAACGAGAGAGACGAAAGAAAGGAAAAAACACCATTTCTTCTTGTGCTTCTGATTCCCCACCATCTTTGACTTTGTTTCGTTGTTTCTGATCTCACTCCACCGTGTTTTAGAATGGCCACCGTTAACTACAACGCACCCTCGGCCACTCCCGCTGCCGCGGCGGCTGCTCCGGCGAAGAACGTGGATACCCAATCTGTGCTCAAAAGGTACTTGATCAAATAGCTAGCTGTGAATCCCCAGTACTGAATTACCGATTAAGAACTGTTCGTTTAAATTTTAAACCCTCGATGTTAATTTTGATTGGATTGTTGGAGAGATCGCGGTTTCTCATCTTCAGTTCTCTGTTGCTTGGATTTGTTTTTGTTGATTAACAGGTTGCAGTCGGAGCTGATGGCCCTAATGGTGAGAGGGGAAATCTCCTAAACGAATTTGCAATTGTCAATTGATTGATTTTGGTTGGTTTCCGCTGGCTGATTCAAGAGATCTGGTTATGGCGGGGTTTTTTGTTGTTGTCAACAGATGAGTGGAGAAACAGGGATATCAGCATTTCCAGAGGAAGACAACATCTTCTGCTGGAAAGGGACGATCACTGGGAGCAAAGATACAGTCTTTGAAGGAACCGAGTACAAGCTGTCTTTAGCTTTCCCCAACAGCTACCCTTTCAAGCCACCAAAGGTGAAGTTCGAGACCACCTGCTTCCATCCGAATGTGGATGTGTACGGCAACATTTGCCTCGACATTCTCCAGGACAAGTGGTCTTCTGCGTATGACGTTCGGACTATTCTGTTGTCCATCCAGAGCTTGCTTGGAGGTCTGTTCTGTACTGATATCTCTGCAACTTTCTACTCAGAATGCTGTTTCAGCAATGGATTCGATGATCAATGTCGCAATGTTTGTTTGGATCTGATGTTATTGTGTGTGTTTGTATGCTCATCTTGTGTACAGAGCCAAACATCAGTTCGCCACTCAACACTCAGGCAGCACAAATGTGGAGCAATCAAGAAGGTAAGGCAGCTCGAGATATGAGTTTACTTGGAGAGAGGGTGTTTTTGGAGTTACACATCATTCGCAAGAAGGTTTCATCTAACTGACTCTGATGGAACTTTTGTGTGGTTGCAGAGTATCGGAAGATGGTGGAGAAGTTGTACAAGCCTCCAGCAGCAACTGCATAGGACAGATGATATTCTGGGTTTTACTTTACTTACTTGGATGTCCTTGAGAGAATACCTACTGTGGTCATCTGATTCTATGTTGCCATCACTGTAATATTTCAGTGCCAGTTTCTAATGAATGAGATAATACCATTTGATTACTCCACTGTCTTCTCCCTCTTTCTCTCTGCCATGGTATGCTTTTGAGTAAGATAAAGAATATAGAGCTAAAACAAACAAAAAACACACAAGCAACTAAGCAAGCAATTGCTTTATCTTCGGTGCCAGTTTCTAATGAAATGGGATAATACCGTTTGATTACTCAACTCAAGGAAATCCATCCATTTTCGGAATTCATTCTCTAGCTCTTGACATAAATAAGAAACAGAGAAATGTATCTGATAAACTAGACTCTATGCATGGTGGTGCTCTACTGATTTGGTGGGGGAGAGGTAAGCTGCCTGATGTTGTACTTAGACAACTCCTTGTACTTTTCTACAACTCCAATCAAGCAAACTGTCTGGAATTGAATAAGAGGAATAAGAGCAGACCATCAGAACTTCCGGGCAAGAAATCATTTGTGTACTACCAAGGAAATGCTTAAAGATATTTGCACTACCTTCACGATTTCGACAATGATTGTCTTGTTAGGATTGCTGAGATCAACTTTATGAGGGTCGGGAACAGCCTTCGCCACTGCATTTATGATCTTTGCCCTGTCGATCCCACTGTTTGCTCTCGCTTCGTACATGACAGCAAACTGCATACAGAGAACTGAGTATCAGGATGATAACCACGAGATAACTAAAATGAAATTGTACAATTTACCTTATGTGGTTCTGGAGCATCCACAGGGAAGTGCTTTGCGACAAGTGGAGCAATTGCCCTTGAAATTTCCTCTTCTGAAGGATAGCAGGATGCCTCAATTGGCAACATTCTTAAGAGAAACCTGAAACAATTGGATACATAAACATTTAAAGCGAAAGGAATATCAGCGGCAGAAGACTTCTCGTTGGTGCCAAAGTTGAAGTGTGTGAAGTACATAACAAGGCAAATTTTGTTACGAACCTTGACACGTGTTTCTTTGTTGATGCCAAAGTTGTCATCATCTGCTGTGCAACATCCTTGGGAGAGGGGCCTCCATCTCTCTTGCGCATTTGAACAAAAACAACACCATTGCAGCCAGAATCGAGATTAACGAGAAGTCTCTGTTTGAACATGGCAACACAGATTGGTGATATATCTTTATTTGAAACTAAACCAAATAATATCTGATTCAATCCAACGCGATCCGATTCGCTCCACGTGTCGACCGAATTGGGAGATGGTGAATAATACACTACTCACCTTACTTTTGTCCCCGAGTTCTTTGAGCTCTTCAGCTATAAGCTTGTCAATAGATTTCTCCTCCACTTTGGCTGCAACAGCACCTTTTGAATCATCAATTTCAATGCACTGTTTTTTCACTGGTGGCTCCGCAGCAGGTTCTTTGGTTGCTTCTCCTACATTACTGGTTTTCCCTTCTGCTGGATCTATGTTACTACACTCCACAACAGTTGGAACACTCGCCCCTTCAGTCGTTTTAGTCTCCGCCTCAGTGCCATTTCCTGAAGAGTTATCTTCAGCTTTGACATCATCCCCATTAAGTTTCTTAGCATCCTCCTCTTCCTCAGCTTTATCATCCTCTCCCTCTTCCTCATCTTCATCATCGGAGTATGTGAACTTGATCTTTTTGTTCTGTGGTTTACCTGGCAACTCGGAGAGCTTCACATTACCACCTTTTCCTTGGACTAGCTCTTCATAGAACTGCAGACAGGCAAAGTCACGTATTCAGTCTTCATAGAACTGGCCAGATTCTAACGTTTACCAACACAAATTCAGTAATGAATATCCAAAATCATAACTTTCCCTCGTATAAGAAACATGGATCATCATCAGAGACCAAATCAAAGACCTTAAGTAAATATATGGTATTTTAACCCCAAACAACCTCAGAGAAATCAAGCGACTTCACCAGAAAAATCCCTATGTTAAATCACTAACCCTAAATTAACCTGATGAGCTCAAGCCAACACACCATACATGATACATCATTACAAGGAACAAAAGATAGTTCAACGCAGAAAGAAAGCAACTTTGTCCTGGAAAGGGACTACCCAGCAAGCAAAATCAGCAGCATGATTAAGCCCATAAGCAAATCCATCAGCAAAATAAGTGAAATCAAGCAGAAATCTTACAGTTTCAATAACGTTCATAGCCTCGAAAGCAGCTTGGCGCTCTCTCCCTCCATCGCAAGTAATGAAGAAGCCTTCAACTCCAGGATGTAAAGGGTACGAACCTTTCTTCTTAACCGGTTTCTACAAACCGAACATGCGAGGCGAAATTAACCCAACAATTATACTGAAAAATTAACCGCTACTGCTTGTAGCCTAGCAAGCAACAGAGAAGAGAACTTACGTTGTGGGGAAGAAACTGCTTTCTCTTTTTCCCCTTGCTAGCTGCGTTGTCTGTCGCCATTTCCCGCCGCTGAGTTACTAGATGATCGTCGTTTAGCAGAAGAAAGCGGAAACGGAGGAGGAGGAAGAGAAAGGAAAGGAGAAGTTGCGGCGGAGACTCGGGTCAGTTCTTCTGGCGGGTAGCGGCGGAACTGGGAACTCGGGCTTCTTAAGCGAAGATGGGCTTCATTTCGGACCGCATTATGTAGAGGCCCAAACGAAAACATTATCAAACTTCCAGGCCCACGGAAATGAGGAAAAAAAAATTCCCAATCAAATTTGATTGCATGCACCTTCAAATTCTAAGCTCTATAGTCTAGACTATGGCCAAACTGTAAGGTTAATGTGTGAATAAAGTACAATCTTATCGTACATACGACAAAAAGTACAATCTTATCGCATCAATTGGTTGTAACGATATCGAATGCATAAACCATCCTTGTGTGACTTTGAGTCATCGTATACTTCGATCAAATGAGAAACAATGTGCAATCAAGCTAAACTCAGCACCGAATCATAGTTATTGTTGCCGGCCTCAGTGATACGTAATATAACTATTATGCAACCGATACGCAACAATAAGTAACGGAATAAGTGAATTTTTCTCATTCCTGTATCAGGACCTCTCACGGATTACAAATACTCGGATTCTAAAGAATCACAGGTGGACCTGCTTTGTCCCACCTATTTTTTGCTGGTGACCTGATTATGTTTGTAGAAGCCAACGCCCAACAAGCTGATATTGTCATGAACTGCCTTGACTGCTTTTGTGCTGCCTCAGGAGAATCCGTTAGTAAGGAAAAATTTAGTGTCTTTTTTTCAAGAATGTTAGAAATCAAACTAGAGCTGAGATTTACAACAAACTTGGCATCCAAGCTACTTCTGATTTAGGAAGATATTTTGGAGTCCCTGTGATTCATGGTAGGGATGTACATGGGGCGGGTGGTTCGGGTTTCGTCATTTTAATCACTCGATCCATATATTGCGGTTTTGAAAATGTTCAATCCAATCCAACCCAAAAAAATTAAAACCCTACGGTTTGTTTATAATTGGGTTGGGTCGGGTTGGAAATACTTTTAATTAAATATCCAACCCAACATAAAAAGACAACTATTATACACTACGAAAATATTATATAACTAATTAAGATTTTAAACAAATAAATAGAGGCAAAAAGTTTCAATATGCATAAATATTGTTTGGATTTTAATGAAATGCAATTTAATTCAACATATGTCTAGTTTTTTCATAAATATTTGTCGAAGTAAGCTAAAGTAGTTATAAGCTAACACATTCATAACTTATACTCTAGAATTGTACACACAAGAAAAGGATTACGTGAATCATAACTTATATTAAATCTACGTCTAAATATTAAGTTGAAGGATGTATTAGACTAGAGAAACTACAAGAGAAAACTATGATAAAATAGCTTAATTTTCTCACAAATATGTGTTGTATACGAAGACTTATGACAATAGTTCAACACGGGTTGGGTCGAGTTTTACGGGGTGCGTTACCCAAAATCCGGACCCAACCCAAAAGAGGCGGGTTGTACAATAGAAAACCCTCACCCAACTTTAAAGTTTAATTTTATCGATAAATACGGGTGGGTTGGGTCGGGTTGGGCGGGTGGATCGGTTTGCGGGTTGTTTTGTTCACCCCTAATTCATGGTTGCATTACCAAATCTACCTATAAGTACATACTTGATAGGATTGACCAGAAGCTCTCAAACTGGAAAGCCAGAACCCTATCTCTCGCAGAGAGAGTGACACTGGTTGTGTCTGTTCTGAATGCCCTCCCTACTTATGCTATGCAAACTACCTGTCTCCCAGCCTCTATCTGTGATGCCATAGATAGGAAAATCAGGGATTTTGTGTGGGGTCTAGGAAAGGAAAAAGGAAAACACACTTGATCTCCTGGGACAACATCTGCAAGCCAAAGGAGCAGGGTGGTCTAGGCCTTAAATCAGCTAGAACTATGAACATGGCATTCATGATTAAATTTGGATGACACATGCTTAATAATGGATCTGATTTGTGGGTTCAAGTTTTGCAGGGGAAGTACTTCAAACAAAAGAATGGGGTTATCCTTGCCATGAAAAAAACCAACCACTCAAACCTGTGGATGGCGATTGTGAAAGGAATGCAACTGATGCAACATGCCACCTGCTGGAGCATAAGAGATGAGAAATCAACCCTCTTCTGGATTCAGCCCTGGCTCGACAATGAAACCATCCTTGCTGACCACGCTATCATTAATATCTCGAAGGAGGAGAACGGTGCTTCTGTTGCTGATTAGACTACAGAAGGAGGTGAGTGGGACTGGGAGAAACTGATACAGTACCTCCATAATGATATGTTGAATGCTATTGCAGGAATGGAGGCCCCTGATCCTAAGCTAGGAAAAGATACCTCGTTCTGGGGACTTGAGAAGGATGACAGATTCATACTCAAGTCGACATACACACTTGCAGCAGATTCTGAAGAGATGGAGGTCAATGGAAGATGGAAGAAGCTTTGGAAATGGAGGGGACCAAACAGGATCAAGTTCTTCCTCTGGCCGGTCACACATGATCACCTTCTTACTAACAAGGAGAGGTCAAGAAGAAAGCTCACTACTGATAACAAATGCAACCACTGCAAAACCGAAGAAGAAACTATTGAGCACATCCTGAGGAATTGCAGCAAAGCAAGATCAACTTGGGAGAGATTTCAGAACAGTGATGTTGCCAGAAGCAGGAGCATGCCTTTTGATGTTTGGTTTGATTCGAACATTAAGCATGATAATACTGCTACTGAGTTTGGTATCATGTGCTGGCAGCTGTGGGAACAAAGAAATGAGGAGGTCATGGAAGGGAAAGCTTTCAACAGAGACGACATCCATGCTAAGATCAAAGCTTGGTTCAACATTGTTGGACAAGCCCACAACAATTTACAGAAAACGAGTACTCTGATCAAAGGGAAGAAGCATGATGGTCTTGTAAGATGGAAGCCACCTGATGAGGGATGGATCCAAATTCAATCTGATGGGTCTGTTCTCCCTCCTGGAAGTGAAGCTGCTGGTGGAGGCTTGTTTCGTGACCATCTGGGAAGGTGCCTCGGTGCCTATGTCTGCAACTTGGGCTCCTGTTCCATCACGGCACCGGAGCTAAGGGGAGCATTGGAAGGACTCAAGATTGCTTGGAAAGAAGGATTTCGGAAGATTCAGCTTAATGTTGACTCAACAACGGCTGTTACTATCATCAACAACAGGTTTGAAGATGACCATCGTCATGGCAACATTGCCAAACAGTTCAACCACATTTTGAATCCACAATGGGATGTTCGTGCTTCTCATGTGTATAGGGAGGCCAATTTTGCAGCCGATTATTACTTGGCTTGCAAGGCTCATGATTATGATTTTGGTACACATCTCTTCAATGTGTACGACGCGAATCTTGTTCAATGGATCCGTCATGATGTAATGGGAGTTTCCCACGAACGTTATATTTCTAATGTAACTTAGGCGCAAAGCGTCTATCCTATTACCAAAAAAAAACACGTTGGGACCATGCGTGGAACAACTAAACAATAACAAATGACGGCCAAATACTGGAGAGGCCTGCAATAGTATTATAAGGTGTTATAGCACTAGTAGCACTGTGTGTGGTGATAATGTTGCTTAGGCAATACGTAAACCGCAAAGGTCACAGTCAGAGAAAGAAAGCGTCACGTTGCACCAATTGGTTCAAATCGGCGAATCAGCTGATAATGGTCGGCGGGAAGGATTCATTTCGGAGCCAACGATGTGGTGGGAGCAAAGTGGGCCATTCATGTTAAAATATCAGCGGACGGCCGCGGCGGCGATGACCGAAACGTTGCCAATCAATAATCCGCCCCACGAAGACAAAAAGGCCAACATAGAAAGGTGGCAAATGGCAATGCATGATTGTCAATTCATCCATCTCATTCCCCACGACCATGGAGTCAACTATGCAGGATGGGACTGGAAGAGACGACGACAGACCCGCAGCAGTAGCTGACTAATGCCCGAGTTAGGCCGGTTCGGTTCAGTCAGCGTTCGACATAGGACTCAACTCGATATAGATACTAGTATTGATACAGGCCTATATCGCCTCGATCGTATGACTTGAGTACCCAATCGTCCAATGCATACAGTGAAATTTTCGCGAATAACAACACAAGCAACCCATCAAAACGAGAAAACACAATTTGATCATGTGGCACGGAGTATTGATAAACGTCTTGCCTTGCATCTGAAGACACCACTTTATGTAGACTCAAACTCTAATGAAAAAATGATCATTGTATAACTTTTTTTCTTTTCTTTTCTTTGACCTGAGTGCCAAAACCAAATTTACAGAAGGTGAACATGGAGGGACAGAGGGATGGAGAAAAAGAGAGACAACAGACGAGAGTTTCTGGAGACCAACCTTTTTTTTTCTTCTTCATCTTCTTTCTTATATTTATATAACCACCAAAAGGGATTCCCAAAATAATTTTCTACATTTACAAGGGGGAGGAAAGGCAGCTATACCCTGACTGACTGACTGACTGATTGATTGCTATACGTATAAATATATATATGATTATATGAATGATATATATATTTATAGCAACTGTACCCTTACCCAAGCTATCCACAGTTCCACACTATCGTCGACGATGCAGGCCCTCCGACGATGACGAAGAAGAAGAATGTAACGCGGCAAGGAGAGCTGCCCCGACGCACGATCCATCCTCCGTCGTTCTGAGCACGACGTGTTGCGCCACATCTTCGCCCAGTATTTCATTCAATGCCTCGTGCAAGTATTCTCTGAACATCATGTAGCTCGTGTACAGGCTTCCTTCTACTGCTACTACCGTTCTTCTCATCTTCGCGTCGCTTCTACTTCTGCTGCCAGTTATCCCTCCGGTTCCATCCCGGCCAATTTTCTTTAGTATTCCCACAATGCCGGCAGCTGCCAATCTTGCAGCTCTCCTCGTCACCACATCACACACTTTGACGACCAGCCTCCGTGCCTTTAGAGGAACGTCCTGGATCTGGGGGGGAGTTAACCGGACAGATTAAGTAGGGCAAAATGTGAGCTAATGTCACATTTTATCCAAATGACTCTTGCAGTCCATGTTACGTACCTCTAGCTTTTCTCTTAGGATGGCAGCTACTACCTTCAGGTCAGGAGTGTCATCTTCATGCATTGCCGCCATGAGAGGCATTCTGAATACAATGCTTTGATGATTAGATTTGTGATATAATATGACATGAACAAGCTGATGGATGATAAGGAGATGGTAATTACTCCAGCACGAAAGGTATCAATAATTTCGATGAGACAGGTCCAAAGACATCAGATTCCTTGCACATTCTGAGGAGTACTCTTCTGAAGATATCACCGAGATACATTCCAGATATCATTTTCTCGAAACCCTGAGAGCAAAAATTTCAGATGTTCAGTGTGTGCATCTAAAAGCGGTTCAGTAGGAAGATCACATAGCAGCATGCAGCTGCATACCTGGTCATTTGGATTGGGGCTCTCCATATCCATTTCAATATCGTAAGTTGTTCTCGGCAAATGAGATGACCAGAAATTTCCCCATTCCATGTTGACCACCTAATTAGAAAGAGCGCCAGAAAGTCAGCAAGTTCATTGAACACCAGAAGGGAAGGAAAGTAAAAACTAAAAAGTAATAGTGATTCCATGCATATGACGTGAGAAAAAGATACCATGGCTCCGGAAGATGTAAGGAGTCCTTGGCATTTGATGATTGCATCTGCCCTCTCCATGTAACAGGCATTGGTGCCTGTTCCAATTTTAACAGCAGCGACAGTGTCTGCATCATAATAGTGTCCAAGGGCTAAGATTCCAACAGTATCATTCACCTGTCAGACAAAAACAGTATAAGAATGATTTATTATACAATTTAAGTAGCATCTGGACCATACATACCGTGCAATCAGGAAACATCCCAAGACAATTGAACTTCGAAAAGTTGTACAGAGAAAATGAAACTACCAACAAAAAAACCAAATGAGTACATGAATTTCTGGACAAAGGAGACAATTTTGGGGTACCAATAAGTTCGTGAATGGTATTGTATAGACAACATCATTAGCTTCCCTAGAGAATATGAGCATCATAATTGGTCCACATATGCACACAAGAGAAGAAATGCCACCTCAGCAGAAACACAGAAAGCCAAAGCATGTATAGAAGTCGCTATATGGTTAAGCAAAAGTGCATGTATTCCTATGAAGAGATTTCTCAAGTGCGAAACATTGCTATGCAGTCATCAAAAGCACAACATCATGACAAGAAAGAACTGGTAGCTTACCAATACAGTCGCACACATATCTAAACCTTTCTTCATCAATGCTGCTTGTAAACGTTCAATAATTTCGCATCCAATCTACAAACCATTAAGCCACCACATTATGATTGCAAATTTGCAACTACCCTTCCATACTCAAAAACAAAATTTAGAGAGCTTCAATAATCTTCCAAATTGTTAGAAATATGACCAGAATTATTCACCAGCAAAAAAGAGGTAGAGCTTCAATATTCTTCCAAATTGTTAGAAATATGACCAGAATTATTCACCAGCAAAAAAGAGGTAGAATAACATAAATTATTCAACAAGAAAGGGCTTCAATTGACTAATTGCTTCTACAAATTCTTTCAACAGATAACAGAAACTATCACTAACCATATCTTCAATAGCAAACCCTTTGGTCCACCGTATCAGGAAGCCAGAACGAATAGAAATCTGTTTAACTGGAAAAGAGAATGTGAACCCTAGCTCCCTGGTCCTAGATTGAGCAGCTTCAGATACAGTTTCTTCTTGTTCAACAAACTGTTTCAGTTTTGATGTAATGAAATCGAAGAGGTCCTGCAAGCCAAGGCATATATAAGCATATCCATAAATTAGGAGGAGAAAAGTAGGACTTTTTTAGAAACGGATAAAACACCAAAGATTAGTTACCTCACTTGTGCTGGTCATCAAGTGCTGAGGAATGCGCTGCCTTTTTACATCTTTCGACAATATCGAGGACCTTGTACCTCCTAGCTGAACCCGCAATACCCTAAAATTAGTACCGCCAAGATCTAGAGCATAATAAGTTCCTATTTCACTCCTGACAACAAAACCAAAAAGCAAATTGACAAATAGAACCTAAGAAATCATCACAAATATCCTTCACAGGTTAAGTAAATACATTTGAACCTCGGCTATTTTATCAGTGATTGGACAAAAATGCAAAGCTTAGAAATAAAAATAGAAAACCCTGCTGATTCTGAAATGTATCATATTGGAATCCAGATAATTATGTGTGTTCCTCCATGTATCCACACCAAGTTCATGTGCACATAAAGCATACTTGTCCCGCCGTCCAGGAACAGTAAAAGCACAAGTTCAACCAGTATTTAAATACACTTCAATAGTTCAGATGGAAGTTCACCTATGCTACAAAGCATGTGTATTTAGGCCAGTAGAAATTCCTTGTGCTAGTAGTGACCTAAACCAACCAAAGTAACAAAGAATAAATGGAGATTATATTCCCTGATGCCGAATGCCAGACATGCTTGGGAATCCAAGAGTCCCGCCACTCAAAAGTGGAGCTTGGAATGGATTACAAAGTAGACCTCAAGAATCCCTAACTTGTGTTAGTGAAGTTTCGAAAGGAATAATTATCTGCCGAAGAAGCAAATTTATTCTTCAAAATGAGGAATGTCAACAAAACAACAGATGACCAAATCATCAAAATTGACTTGAAAAGGTGGGGAACAGTATAACAATAACGCAGCTTCTTGAAAGAAGAAAAAAGAAGAAATGTATTCGAACAAGCCGAATGAGAAGACAGATAATAGACCAAAACATCAAGCCAAAAATAAAAACTTTGCACTGCACCAGCCGAAACCTTAGGAATGTGACAAAGTAAGGGAATTCAGATGACAAAAGAGACGCGTGCAGGATGGTTAAATGGCAAGAAAAACAAGGAGAAGAGCTCAACTAAAACAATAAACCACAATTCCAAAGCCGGGTAGATGGACAATGCTCATTTGATGAAGGACAAAACCAAATGCTCATGTTATTACGTGTATGAGAAGCTCTCCCTGCAATGACCAATTTCAATTGCGCCAAAAGTAGAGACAAATAAAATACAACGACATAAATCAAACTACTATGCCACCAACAAAAAGAACAAAATACTACTACTACTACTACTACTACACAAACTACGCAGAAGCAAACAACAAATCTAGGACAGCAAATAAGATTATAACCCAGGAAATCCAAACTGTGTAATTAAAAAAGGGAGTTGATTCAAAGACTGGCAAACCTAAGTGTACGATCAAATGAATGAACAAGAAGAGGACCATTCCCAATTTCAGACCTTTCCCCCTTATTTCCAGAGACTACACAGCAATCAATCCACGCTGAAAACAGAGCACAACAACCCAGCTACCCAAGCGCATAATGAGTAACAACAAAGCGAAAGACCTCGTCAATCAGAGGACCCCCCCACAGAAAGAGAAATAACATTCATTGGACCAAAGGGAGGAGGAGGAATTTAAAAATAGATTACCCAGTAGGCAAACGGTCAACGAAAGTGAGCAACATTTTCAGCTTGGACCCTCCTTCGGAAGCCAATCCAGCATGCATCTCCACGGCCATAGCATCCACCACCTGCTTCAGCCTCCCCACCGGCGTCTCGCACGACTCTTCCAACTCCCTCAACACTCCCACCACTCTCCTCCACTTCCTTCGACTCCTCAATCTCCTCCCCACCACCACCCCGGCCACCGCACAAGTCGCCACCGCCACCCCAACCGCTACTCCCACCGCCAACTTGCCCATCTTCGCAAAATAAAATCGAAAACCCCCCCAATCTCAGAGCAACAAATTCGTCACATCGCGGAAAGAACCAAATCCCGGCCCACTGCCTCCTTCCTCTGTATCCTATTACCCAGGCCGGCTCAATGAGCAGAAGCCAACCAGCAGAAAACCCGCCCGTACGCGAATTCCAGGCCTCTTCCCCGCTGGGAGAGGGCGGAAGAAGAAAACAGAACAAATCGCCGCCGGGAAACTCCTTTACTCTCCCCCCGGGCTTCGGCTTGCAGATGACCTGTTCGATAAAAGGTCTGAAAGAGAGAGGGGTTCAATTTTTTTGTTCTTTTTTTTATATTCCTTCTCGTCGTTTCAAGCAGAGAGGGGAGAAATGAAAGTGAAGGGAGGAAGAGAGAGAGAGAAATAAAAAGGAGAGGGTGGGACGGGGTGAGAGAGAGTTATAAAGGGTGAGAGAATGACAGATTTGCCCCTGAGCGTGATGTAAGAAAAATGACGAGGTATGGATTTTAATTAGAGTCACTTATAATTGAAATTATTTTAGTTTTGTTTTTTTACCGTTTTGATTGGAAGATCTTTGGGGGTTTATGGCGAATTTTGACTTGTGTTCTTTTTTGCTTTTAATTTAGGTATCACTTTTTTTCTACGGTGCTGTTTACCAAACTGCCCCTCTTGGTTTTGATTGAGATTTGATGCTGTTGATTGTTTTGACTCTTCTTTTGATTATGACCTTTTTCCGAATTGGGGGAGGGAGCATTGGCAATTTTAAAAAGAAAGGAAAAGAAAGATGGTACTTTGGATTGTGACTTGCTTAGTAGTGTAGAAATATGAAGTTGCATTCTCGATAGATCCGTGAAATGTGCTTCTTTTAATCTGGATTACATTATTTTTTTAAATCTCGTCAAATTTTAGTGGGCACTTGTTACGAAAATTGATTGTTTATAAACGAGCTGAGTCGAGCTCGAGATTTGCCTTGTTTAGGTTTGACTTGTTAATAAGCTCATTTATAAACGAGCTGAGTCGAGCTCGAGCCGACTCTTTTCTTCAAACCTACATGACTCATCAGTAAGTTGGCTCGAACTCAATCTGATCATTTACAAATTATATCATAATATTTATATGTCATATATGATACATGTGATTGACTGGTCTCGTGTCATATATGAGACATATGTGCCCACATACTCAAAATCTTAAACATGTGAGATATACAATTCAATTAATCTATGAATTATCAACAAGCCAACTCATAAGATATAGATTGATTTCCGCGTAACCCGGTAGTCGAGTTTGCTCACTAATCACAACGTTGATGCATCTCATGAACTTAAAACGAGAGAGCTCGTGAGTTTAGCTCAACAAACCACTTAGTCGAGCTGGTTCACGAACTACTCAAGACTTAACTCAAATTTGACTTGTTATTAAACGAGTCGATTTTTCTCTTAATCGAATAGATTTTTATCGAACTGAATATCAAGCCAGCTCAACTCATTAAAATACCCTACATAGTAACACTAGCCTATAATTCTATTATTTCTCTGCCAACCCCCAAGAGTTGATTGGTTTAGTTTTCACTTCTTAGTTAAATTGAAACCGTTAGCAAATGGAGAATATATAACTAAAAGGAATCTCTAATTTCCTCTGGTCAATCATGTACTATGATAGTGCCTATCAGCATGCTTTGTTTCGTTGGGCAGGCAAAAGGCATTAGCCCTTTTTGGCTTTTTAAGACTGATTTTCAGTTATCGGTATATTATTTTCCTGCACAAAATTATTTGTCCTTTGACATTTACGTGGTGGTATATATATAATTATATACTTTTGTTTTTGGTTAGAAAGGACTTGTGATGTGTAAATTGTAAAAATAACATTGAAATTGGCATTTGATATATATCTAGTAGCTTTTATTAATTTATTTATATTCAAACACAAACAAAAATTAGTTTATCACACAATAGTATTTTGCAATTTAAGCATATTAAAACACACTTAATTACCACTATGATTAGAATATGGGCTCCTGTAAACCAAAATCCAATCAATTGATAGACCTATCGAATACTATGTTTTTCCATCACCAAAAACATACATCGTATTGACTTGATTATTCGAAAACCGGTTTAAAGTTCGACAAGTGCATCATTAAAAAGTTGAGTAAAAAGTAAAATAATCGAAGCTTATGAATTTGAACCTTGATAACCAAAGAGCCGGATAAGGGGAGAGGAGGGCAAAGAGTTCTTACAAATATTTCTAATTCCCAAATACATTACAAGCATTGCATGTATGTTTGACTATATTTTAAGATATTGATGTAAGATCGTAATTATGTTCACCAAAAGTTAACAGTATAAATTTAATCTCTGATTATCGTGAAAATAAATAAAAATCACTCACATGTTTGCTCTTCTTATAAATGAGAACTTGCTCATCTTTCAATACGAGAATATTCAACGATATCTTGATAATTATATCAATATTAACACTCTCTTTGCAAACACTATATAGTAATATCTACAAATACACCCTCTTTCGATAACTTGCTCTTCTTTCAACACTTCTCCACTTTGCAAACACTATATAGGTACAAAAGATAACTAGGGATAAATAATCAAATGAAAATTCAGTTTTTCTCTCCAGAAAGCCATTTGTCACTTCTATAACTATTACTCCAACTTCAACAAATCAACCTTTCTGATTTTGTACACATGGGTTAATCATGTCATTTACAGGTGCTTTAATTACAGACAACAGTGACACATAACATTCCAAAATTTAACGTGGTCATTAATTATTAGATTCCAGACCATTAAGATTATTCGTTTTATGATGGGGAGTAGGGTTTTTGAGAAGCTTGGATTCTATAGTATCTCTAGGGTACGTGAATTTTGCCTACGCTAGCTACAGCCACTCGAAATAATAATCTCCATCTATGGCTAAAATTGACCAAAGTTGTAGTTGCTGTGCATTTCTTAATTAGGGTATAAATCTGCAAATGTACCCTTTTACCGTTTTGCAAGAATGATTGCACATTAGACTATGCATAAATTGTTGTTTATTTTTATCTATACCACTAGAAAATGATCCATCCAAACAAAAATGTTAAGTTCTCATCATAACGTATGTAGACATGAAAATTATATGATGGTTTATAAAAATAGTTTTTATGATAGAATAAGATAATTTGCTTTCGGTAATCACTCAGACATTTTCTTTTCGTACATTAAATTTTCGTAATGTTTGTGTTCCTGATGGGACCGGTTAGCTTGCTAATTCTTCTATGGGGTTGGAAAAATGACACCCTCTATTAATTATAGTTAATTATTGTATTAAATTCATGTTGCATTTAATAATCTTTGGAAATTAAAAATCCATATTAATTACATCCATTTTTTTTAACTACCATTATACATTTACACTGATGCAACTATCATTGCACATGTACACTGAACTCATATTAATTGCATTCCTTTTTTTTTCAAACTACCATTGCACATGTACACTGATATCATTGTACTGGACAACTATCATTGCACCTATACGATTTCGGTCTGGACCGAACCAAAACCGAAAAAATGTCCCAAATTCAGGAACCAAAATCGAATCGAAAGATAAACAGTTCGATCTGATTCGGTATGAGAGTCGATTCGGTCCGATGTGAATCGAATCGTTGCCCACCCCTAGGTAGAACTACCATTGCACTGAGAAAATGTAAGTAATTAACATGAGTTTTTAATACAGACAGATTATTAAATGCAACACAAATCAATTACCTTAAAAGCCTATAATTAATAGAGGGTGTCATTTATCCAACTCTTTTAGTGATTGTCATTCTATCTCACCCCGTTCTCTTAAATTATCGATGGTCAGTCAGAGGCTTCTTTAGGATTTACCGCCTCTATTTCACACTTACATTAATAATATAAAAAATAAAACATCTACTGGAATGTAAATTCACTCAATTAAAGCACCATTTACTGAAAATGAAACTAAGTAAATAAGTAACCCTAGGGGCGGAAATGGGAAACTATAGACACGGTAGAGAGAGGAAGTACCAGAAGGAAAGAAGGGTACTCGTGGACAGTGGCCAGCCGGGTTTCCGCATTGGTTTTAGAATCTATGGTCTGTATTCTTCCTCCAAATTGATAAACAAAACAGAGATGGAGAGAGAGTAGTAGTCCTTAAAAAAAATTGGAATGGGGCTGAGCAGCCCTAGAAAAGGGTACTTGGGGAGGGCATTTGTGGCTGCGGTATCCCTTAATTAGAAGAAGTGGATGAAATAATGGAGAGGAAAAGGCCACACAAAGGGACGAAGACAGACAGCTGCATCGCACATTCCCACACCCTCTTCTTCATTACTACTTCACACAACATAACTCCAATCTTCTTCGACAAATCGAACCTCGAATGTTTCGTTTCAGTCTGGTGAATGGGTCACGGGATGGAGTGTTTATAAGACGATTTGAGCTGATATCAAAGTACATTACAACGGCTATCGCGAGATCTTTACTCGTTCGAATGCTTATTTTTTGCTCTTGATCACAAATTTGAATCGTTTGCATTGTGAAAGACTACGGAGGGTTTGTTGAAAATGCCTACGTATCAAATATCATCGGACTCAAAGTATGTAACTTGCTTCGTCGAATGCCTGCACGATGATTCTCGTATGGACATCTGCATGCTCGCCTCGTAGCCTTCATCTATGCGTAGCATTGTTTCAATATATAAGATTGCACGATTCCATTTGTCAAGACAGTTGCGTTAAACGTATTTGTAATGGTTCTCGTCGAGTCATCTGCATGTTCGTCGCGTAACATTCGCCTATGCGCCCTATTTAATAATTTTTTTTTGTGTGTGTGGTTGTTGGGGAAAAGTAAACAAAAGGGGAAATGTGGCGATGGAAACGGCGACAGGACCCTGCGTATTTGAGGGATTTCGTACGTTGCCAGCTGTGTCCCGCTAATTCCAGCTGGCCTCTCTTTTTATTCCTTTTTTTCCTGCCGCCCTCTGTCCACTTTGGCCCATTGCCAGCCCACCACCCAATTATTTCCCACGACCTTTTTTTTTCACATCGAGGACCATTTTGGGTAGGGCCTGCTTTCACCCGGCCCAACAGTCAAGCGGTAAAAACCAGAGATAAAAGAAGCAGTAAAAAAATGGGGAGACAGAAAAGCTTAGCTGTCGAGTTCCTTTGATCTGGGCCGTACGAGTTGGAGATAGTACAGTGTTCATTCAATGATCCTGACCGTACGTCCGTTTTACGGGTCGGGTGGAAGAGGGTTGACTCGATTCATAGCCAGCTGGCTCCTGCTGACACATCATTTTTAATATTTTTTTTAATTTATGTTGTGGTCTAGTGGGGCTGTGATTTGGAGCACGTGCCACTTTGTAAACCACCTGGCTGGGAAAACGGAAAAAACAAAAATGAAAAACAATTGAAATTTGGAAAATGGCCGGTCCCTCCACCGGCGCCGGCCTAACGGTTTGGGTCCCGCTGACCGGCGGCAAAGAGATATAATCAGGAATAGATCATTTTTTCCCTAGGGTAGTTGATTTTTTGTTTGATAAAGGAGGCTTATAAATTTGAACATATGAAAATGAAGATATATTTATCAGGTTGATTGGTTGGGCGTTGGGAGCGAAAATATGAGTATGACAATAACTTGTAGATGAATATTCGAATATATTGTTGTTCATTATCATTTTTTTATATACTTTGTGCTCAATTAAAATTGTAAACTCCTAAAAATAATGTAATCTCAAATACTTAAGGTATACGATGTTTATAGATACAGAGAAATATATTTCGTGCGTTTATTTCCCGTATGAAATTCAACCTATAAATTGTAAGAGCCATTTTTTGAACTAAACTTGTATATAAGAATAAGCATCATAATCCTTCGTTAAGGCACTGCGAACCGAGATATGCTTTTGACGATGACGATTGACGATGTTATGTGCATCTGTCACATATGGTTGAAATCAATCAAAGATGTAACTGAATCCATAGCTCATTCGCTAGTAATCCGTTAAAAAAAAGGTTGTTTGCCTTGCTTGAAATGCTCAATTTTCCCCTTCCCCCACCTCATTGTATAATGAGCATTACAACCTTTTTTTTTTAACTGATTACTAGTGAATGAGATATGATGTCTCGATCCGATCTAATAGTTGATTTGGTCCGATACGGTGCAATATAGATCAAACCATTTGCACCATTTACTTTTAACCTTGTTGCCAGATTAAGGAATGAAATTGTGATTGAATAAATAAAGTAGCTTTAAAACCATTTCGTCATTTTCGTTCATTGGTTGACTAGCAAAAGGACTACACTTTAAATCCAAGGCTGGCTGGGAGAGGGACCCAATCAAACCGAAAGTTATTCACAAAGACTAGAAACGATAAGCTGCAAAAAGTCTGGTCCAATATTCTCGTTTTCCCCTACCCACCAAATAAATTATTTTTTATTACACCAAATAAATTATTAAATTACTCCTATTCTTATAAATTATTAAATTCCTCACATACAAAATTTCTTTTAATTTTCTTCTCGATTGTTCGAATAACAATAAATCGTGAAAATTATAAATCAATCGCACTTAGGAAAAAATATGAATAAATATACCATAATCGTGGTCAACAAAATTATCATGGTCGAACAATTGACACATGAAATACACACTTCATAAGAGAATACGACTTCAGGTTCAGACCCAATAGTCTTATTACTAAGTGTTGCATCAAATTAACATAGAAAAACTAGGCTTATGCACATCTGAAATGATAAGAGTGTGACTTTGTATTAATTGGCGAGAAATATAATGTGTACAGTCATTATTCATATGCTGAAAAAAAAAAGTTAAAATGTAATAAAACGAAGCGGTTAATCGTTCTTTCAAAACCTAAGTTTAATTATGGACTTCCCGATAAATGTGGGAGATATGGACTTCCCGTTGACGAGTGATCAACTCTCTTAATCTATGAATAATGATTGCCTGGTGATGATCGGGCGCCTCCAAGTTATGAAGTACTTGGACTGCGCATAGAGAATTAAGCTCCACTCGGGCACATCTAAATACCATGCCAGCCAACTGTAAACCTCTTCTCTCAACTTTTTTTTTATCGTTCACAGTTGACAAATGATCTAACATCTCGAAGTGGTGTGAAATTCACTTAATCATTAAAAAAATGATAACACTAATTCACATCGAAAATAACAAAACAAAATTGGTGAAATTTACAAAAGTAGTGATATCATTATTTCGAATTCCGTCAAGTTCAAACATTTGGTTCCATTAGCAACGCATTAATTGATAATCCCAAACCATGATGTACGGGGTGTCTCAAATGAATGAAGATGTTTGGATCTTCGTTACCTACCCATGAGAATGGACAATATTCGCTCATAGACGGTTTATTTCTACGAGAAGTCAGGGTACAAATGAGACCAATCACCATTTTTCATCTAAACTATGTTGGTTGATTGTGGTTATTTTATTATTTATCTGAATATGACTGTCTCTTAAATACATTTCGAATTCAATTAACAGGCAGTTTCAAATTCGTTAGTACTAATTCCATAAGTCATGAGTCATTTTATATGAAAATCAAATTAAATTTATTGTTAAGATATAATGTTTGATGTAAGTAACTTTAGACGAATTCAATTTGCCATTTGGCTCATTATTTTGTCACATCAATCTACTAAATTTGATTCTATTACAAAACTCAGCCATGGCCACATTTAAATGGAACTCGATTTTTTTTTTTTTGCCATTCAAAACCCCAGAAACGAGAAATGAAAAAGATACATTATCTGAAAAAGATCCAAAAGAATCCTTACATACATCGTAACCAAGAGACGAAGTCGAACCCCTCAAATGGAACTCAAATTCACAAAGAAATTTACACATACATAATGTACCCACCCCGGCCCATAACTTTCCATATCCTTCGTGGGCTCCTCGTATGCAATTTCTTTCGCATGATTTTGCTTTCTTTCGTTTTCAGTTTTCCCTTCTTAATCATGATCATATCTTTGTGGGGATAATCAAATATATATGTGCTATATGGACACAAGTTCTTATTTGGCTGCCCAATAGAAGACAGTTGGAAACTTGGAATTCACATTAAATAATTTGAGCAACCAAACATTCATGGTATGTCTATGACAACTTTGTCTTCACTTGTAATAAAATTTATCAGAAGTTTGAGTCGATAATTTTTACCAAATGATTGAGAGATAGTATAGTTATAGTAACAATATGTGATATACTTTGTGTGACTTATAACGACCAATTGGCCAATTGTGTTAATCCTCAATCTGATCGTTTTAAGGGAAGATGTATATACCATAAGGAACTCATAGCACTGTATTTCATAGAGAAAAAGAAGATTGAGCATCAAACGATCGATCTTTTGGTTGTTCAGGTCGATCGAGTTGGTACGCATGTCGATATCTTCAACATAGTTTCCTCCCTTTTTGTTATTCAGCGATAGAGATCTACTCCGAAAACTCCAAATAAGTTTTGCTTGGAGTTTAGACCAAGTTAGGATAACAAAATCTCCATATTCAGGCGGTACACATTCACTACACCATGCTCATAACGTCACGATCCATCGTGTCGTACTTCGTTTTCAATCATCGCTATTAATGCTACAGGCCTGGAAGTCAAATAATGTGCTTCTTGGCACAATGATACCAAAATAGTTTTTCCAAACTTGACGGCAAAAACAAAGTTATAGCATAGGAACACATTCACTATAACATAATTCATCCTTTTCTTTGTGCATCTCTATTTTTTCTTCTCTAATTCAAAATCGATAGCCTAGGAGCATGTTGGTTACATGAGCATATAGTATAGGAGCATAATATAACTTAATAAGTGGGCAACCGGAAGAATATGAAAATTCGAGGACTTGATTAATCTGATTTAAAGTACATGAACTTAATCGACTAGGTGTGAAATTCGAGGGACTTAATGTGTGTTTTTCCAGGGTTCTCTCCGGTCCAAACTAAAACCCTAAACCCCATTTTTTTTTGTCAAACGAAAAGGCAAAATAGAAAAAATTCGCAATACACCGCTTCCAGACCGTAACTCAAATTTTCGTCCTAACGCCGCCGGAAACCTTCCACTTAGGTTTTCTCCCGCTGCTCGCTGGTCTCTGGCTCGCCGTCTTCAGGTAAGTGGTGTCGCCTCTCTGGAACTATGTACGTTCAGTTAAATTCGTCGATTCTTGCATCGGTCTCGTGAAGAATTAGTCGTTGTTATATGATTTCTCCCCTTTTGCTGAACAGACAATATGCAGCACGATGAGGTCATATGGCAAGTTATCAGGCACAATCACTGCAGTTTCATGGCCAAGTAAGGCCTCCACATACGAGTTCTACATTCTTAACTCTTCTGCTCCTCTGTTATTGCGAGTCTCTAGCTCTGCTGGATATTGTCTATGTGCAGGATAACGGCAGGGAACTTCTGTAGGAACCCGTATAATGTCACGGGCATTTGCAATCGGAGTTCTTGTCCCCTCGCCAACAGTCGATACGCCACTATCCGTGACCATGATGGTGTGTTTTTGTGTACATCCCCTTAACTTTTAGTTTCAAGTGAATGGCACTGGCTTTGATGGAAATGGTGGAAGATCTTGTGATTCTTAATGGGGCTGATTCTTATGGGTCAAACTTGTGTTTAGGTGTCTTCTATCTGTACATGAAAACCATAGAGAGAGCTCATAAGCCGAACCAGTTGTGGGAACGAGTGAAGTTGCCGAGGAATTACGAGAAGGCACTTGAAATTATTGACAAGCATCTAGTAAGTGGTTTCTAGTGTTTCATCATATTGCCTGGATTTTGTTTTTGTTCTCATGTTGGCAGCAGCTGAGTGCGTATTTCTTCCATAAACTCAATTCTCTCTTATTGGTTCATTTTCATCCTGCTGGAACTTGTAGATGTACTGGCCAAAGTTACTTATTCACAAAATAAAGCAGCGGCTTACAAAAATGACTCAGATGCGTATTCGTATGCGGAAGCTTGCTCTGAAAACACGGTCCGTATTGCTCCTCTTCATTTACAGCTATTTTTTGTGTGCTTTTTGTTGCCTCCCCCTTTTTCGTTGTTCTTTATCTCTTGAAGAGAATAGCGGCTTTTGGTTAAGTATACAAAATATGAATCTATCATGTTTTAGTCGATGGATTACTTCGCTAGCTTCGTTCTTTTCTGGGTGAACAATTTACTAGCTATGTTCATTGCTAGTTTCCTGCATAAACCATGGCTTCTAGATATTCTAAATACAAGGTCTTCATGCAATTCCAATGGTAATGAAGGCCAGTGGCAGCTGGTCTAGTTGCTCAATTTAAGTGATGGACAAGGTAGATCATTATGAAAAAAATGACTGGAAACAGGATTAACTCCAGAAATTCAGGAATCAAAATGATTGGCAATCAGATAGAACGATGTAAATCGTTTAACCAAGCATTGATTTTGGTTCTAGTCATCAAGTTGAATGTGCTTCGGTTTTACGTTGTAATAGTTCTTACTTGAGGATAAATTACACAAATGTTCGTTGTAGTTCATAATGATTGTTGAAGTCATAATGGTGACAAGTGCGACTTAGCACTGTATAGAAACTATTTCATTGTTGAAAGATATCAAAGAGCAACACTTGTTCAGTCACTAGTAACTTATTCTTTTGTTGTCTGAATTGGCGGTTCAGGTGCCTAGCTAGCTGTATAGAGAATTGAGAAAGAAACATAAAAAAAACAGCCCTATGAATTTCTGGATTGCTATGGGAGGAACTTGGCCAGTTTTAATATATTATCGTTTGAGCTTCCTGCTGCTGCAAGCCCTGAAAAGGTATATTATATGATGAAGATGTTAACGTTCTCATTCTGGCTGCAGTGAGAAGGTAGTTACACTTCCTAGAAAAGAGATCAAGAGAGATGCAAGAAGGTTGGAGAAAGCTGAAAAGGCAGCTGTTTTGGACAAGGTAATTTATGAACCTTCTATAAGTGGACGCATTCTTACGGCCACTCTATTCAAGTTCTGACTGATTGCTTTGCAGAGTATTGAGAAAGAGTTGGTGGAACGGCTCAACAAAAACGTTTACGGCGATATCCATAACTATCCTCTTAAGCATTTCGAAAATCTTCTTGACATGGAAGAATCCCAAATTGATGCCCCAGAAGAGGAAGAGGTATGTAATTGGGTTGGACGGCTGTAAGGATAAGCAATATTTGGAATTCCTACACTAACAATGATTTTTTGAACTAGGAGGAATATGATGTAGAATACCTTGAAGGTGATTATGATGAACTAGAAGAGGAAGATGACATTGAAGATTTTGGCAAATTAGCTATGGAGTTTCCAGAGGATCATGGTAAAGTTCTCTTGTTTTGGTTGCAGATGTGGGCATTGGAATTCTTTTTTCATCTCTTGTTTTATTTGTTAATTGTAAAAACCCAGTAACTGAACTCAAGGGCTCGAGGTCCTTATATCCTCCTAACCTAGCTGGCCTGTCCCCCAACTACCGGAAACATAACCTGACCCGAGGCTTTCCTGACTCCAAAACAGGTGATGAACTGGACGATGAAGAGATGGATGCAGTTGGCAAAAATGAGAAGAAAAGGTCCGGTTCCGCTCATGGGAAGCTGGGTAAGGATGAAGCTAAGAAGAAGAAACCACGGGTGCTGGTGGAGGTTAGTACTATTTACAATCGACAAATCTACATTGACATAGGAACAGTGGGTACAAATGCTGCAGATAATAGTTTCTTTCTGCTATACCTGATATGGAAATGCACGTAATTTTTCTTCGCTTCGTATCAGGTTGAGGATGAAGGTGCTTCCGGGAGACGAAAGGCAACCGTTTGAGAGAGAGAGAGAGACCAGTCCATGGTTTATTCACTTCCAGAGATTGTAAGCTTAAAGCTCCTCATTCAGATGCTTACTACTATTCTCCTGGCAAGGAAACTGTCACTGTAAGAGGACCCTCACAAACAGCGAGAATGGAGTCGGTCTGGTCGTGTCAGCTGTAAATCCTCTGGTCATTTTCCTTCCCATCAATTTTGTTAACTTTAAGGTCTCATACACCAGAAGTAAGAGCTGTAATCTGGATGCACTCACTTCTGCTTCTCTTCCCATTTGATCAAAGAATGTTGTCTTTATGCTTCTCTACGCTTGTCCATTGTTGTACTCGCCCGAGAGAGATTGCAGAGATAATGTATCGCGGGGAACAAAAGTGGTCGTTCAGTCTGGTTTGAGAAATATTTTGGAATCCATATCTCATCAGGATTTCGGAAACCTTGGGTTTTCATGTTCTCCGCATTTGTACGTGAGTTTTGGTGTGAACATTTTCGCATTTCGTTGAATTACGGGAAACGTTCTTAATTACCAATATCCAACACGAAGGCAAATTAAACCAATACAAACCTTAACTACTTTCGTTATCAAGCTGCGGGAAGAATCACACTGCCCTTCTAATCCTAATGGTCTTTCTTCTTTACTTCCCGATTCCCGCCGGCGCTATCTTTCTTACATCCATCTACCGCCATGGTGGTGACCGAGAACTGCGATTTGGATTGGGATCTGCCGCTCAGCGTACTGCTTCGCCGTTCCTCCCCGAGGAAACGCCTTCGTCGGATCCGTTCAGAAGTAAACCCTAAACCCTCCATGATATGCCAGCTCGGAGACGATCTCCTCCTACAGATTCTTATTCGCCTCCCCGACCCTGGATTCGCCTGCCGCTGTAAATCTGTCTGCAAGCGCTGGAGCTCCCTCATCTCCAGTCTCTGCTTCAATCGGCGTTTCGTTTATCATCACCAGAGCATTAACCAACTTCCTATGCCGGAGGATCCAAACGAGCTGCAATCGACCGTCTGGAGCTTCCTCCAACGCATACCCATCAGATACGTTCGAGTCCCTCCCATGCCTCCTTTTAGATACGTTCGAGACGCCCCTTTAAGAGTTCTGGATTGCTTCAGAGACTTGCTTTTGTGCGGATTTTGGGATATATATGGCGACAACAACGAATTGGGGAGATCATACTTGGTCTGCAATCTGTTCACGAAGCAGTGGATTGCCCTTCCTCTAGCGCCCAAAAAGCCTGTTGGGTATAAAGAAGACGTCGGGAGGTTAGTTTGTGAACCCTGTGATCCTAAGAAATTTGATCTAGGAGATGACAAAGCGTTTGTTTATTCTTCTGAGTATCGGTTCAAGGTGGTGTGTTATTATCAACATATGCAGTCTACAAAACTAGACGTGTTTTGTTCAGAGTCTGGGGGATGGACTCAGGAGGCCATTGTTCTTAGTGGTTATCTCAGGTGCGGAAACAAGAGTGTAGTTTCTTGCAATGGGGAGTTGTTCTGGTCGCATCATAAAATCAAAGAGCTGGAAGTTGGTCGGATTAATCGTTTGGTGGCTGCCTTCAATCCTTTCCGTCGTGATATACGCCCCACTGCTATTGATGTTTCTGCTTTTGCTGCGAAACCTTGGTGGGTGATTTCGGTCTCACAGGGCGCGTTGCACGTTATTGCATTCGAAGACAATGCAGTACCTGTTCGACGTTTAAGCGTTTGGAGACTGGAAGTAGACAGGAAATCTTGGAGGAAACTATGTGAGGGGTTGCTGAACGAAAAGACATCAAGGTGTGGCAACTATGAAGTTGAGAGCTGTTCTCATCAACTGTGTCTGCATCCATACAAGCCGGAAGTTGTCTTGTTCAATTGGCGTGCTGGTGAGAAAACAAACGCTATATTGTCCTGGGATTTGCACAGAGAAGAGGTAGAGTTATTTGCTGAACTAGAAGGGGGCCCTGCTGTCTCTCGTTTTATGGTGTTCCAGCCTCGTGTCCATTGCTGGCCTACTCCAATTCCAAGGTATGAGGAGTTGCGAGGCATGTACGACGGGAGCTATAACTTCTGCGCTCAGAGCGCCAACAAAGCAGCAGTCACTCCCTCTCTCCTTCCCTCGATAATGCGCTAGTTATATCTTTGCAAAGTTGAAAGAGAGATGCTCATGCACTATCTCTAGGTTATGCCCGACATAAGCTAGATGTTGAAACTGTTCTTCGAATGGTTGTTTATCTATCGGAAGATTATGATGGAAAGCATGAGTACTAGAGTTACCAGCCCTACCTCCACACCCTACTGTTGGCAGCTCTCTCTTGCCGCCCTCTTCTGTCGCCGCCCTCATCCACTGATGCCATCGTCGCCTCCTCTGCTCGCCTCTTCGGTGTGCGTCCCTTTGCCACTACTCTTCCTCTCCTTCCCTTCGTTTTTCTGATATGTGATTTTTGGATTTTCAAATATGATTTTTTTTCTTCTGGTGGTAGTGATTTTTTTTTTTGGGTAGAAAGACGGACGCAAAAGCGTTCTAATTATCATTGCATATAAAGCGAGGTTGGGCAACGCCCATAACATCATAGTTGATCCATTTGGTTAGACTAGGATCGCTCACATCGAACAGATGTGTGCCAAAATCGACACTATGGCCCTTACTAGCAAGGTAATCGGCCGCAAAATTACATTCTCTATAAACATGAGAGATGGAGTGATACGCTACCACTTGAAAAATCACTACCACTAAACTAATGGATTGATACATTTTTGCACCTTGCCGAAATTATACTAGGATTTAAATTTCAGAAAACCATATTAAATTATTAATTAATAAAAAAAATAATTAATATATTTTTTTTTGTCATACACAAATGAATGTGAATCTCACAAGGCATTAGAGGAAGTCAGCGTACGTATCCCACGCCATTGAATCAAATCCAAATCTTGACTACTATCCTTATCAAGCTGCCGGAAGAAGAATCATACTGCCCTTCTAATCCTAATGGTCTTCTTCTTTACTTCCCGATTCCCGCCACCGCCTTGTACCGTTGCCTCAGAGCTCGCACTCTCTGCCGCCGTCGGCTTGGAATGCCCCGTCACGACAACCCTCCTCCACGCACCGTCGCTTTCTCGGACCAATTCTTCGACTGACTTCGACGCCAGGCCTGATCTCTCTAGGATATTAACCCGCCGCCAAACGCCGCTGTTATCCACGACACTGCTAGTTCCGGACACCGGTTGTCTCAGAGCTGAGTTGACTTCCTCTTCCTCGCCTGAAGTGAGAGTGGAGAAGGAAAGCATGTCGTCGGCGTTCGCCATCGCCGATTGAGAAAGAATATTAACGGAAGAGACTGAATTATTTAGCTCAATTAGCTGTCTCTGTTCTTATAATATAGATGAAGAAAACGGATTCCTTTCCGGTGAAGGAATCCGTTTCGGGCTAGGATACGGGCCTGAAGTAGAGCGTGGGCCGAGAACAAATCGAGGCGATTAAGCGGGCCTTAGGGTCCATTTCTTGAGAATGGGTCACGTGTCAGTTGTGGGGAAAGGATAAGACACGATGAAGAGGGAAATGGAAGAGAAGAACACAAGGGAAAACCGGGGGAAAATGGCGGGAGCGTTGTATGGGAGCTTCGCCATAACCGCCTGTGCGAAAGATGGCGGCAGTAGTAGTAAGGAGGATGATAAATTCAAGGGGTCGAAGGTCTTGGTTCTGGGCGGGGCGGGTCGAGTCGGGGGTTCGACCGCCGTTGCTCTTTCCAAGCTCTCCCCTCACCTTTCAATCGCCGTCGGCGACCGGAACAGGTCAGCAGCCGGCGGGGAAACAAGTTCAATTGTTCATTACCCATTAAACGTACACCATTTTGCTATAGTGGGTGGGTTAGGAGGATTGATTATTAACTCAAAGAAAAAGATTGCTTCTTTTGTGGCGAAGTAATTTGAAAACTGAGCTAATAATTTTGTTGGAAATGGGGGGACAGGGAAAAGGGTGCTGCGATGGTGGCTATTTTGGGGAGGAATTCTTCTTTTGTTGAGGTGGATTTTGAAAATGTGGAGTCACTGGAAGCAGCTTTGAATGGTGAACGGCCTTGAATTTCTATTCTTTTTCTTACGGTAATTTCTGGTTAGGGATATTTGAATTTTGTTGCTGTTGTTGTTGCTGTGGCTGCTGCAGGAGTGGATCTTGTAGTTCATACTGCTGGACCTTTTCAGCAGACTGACAAATGCGCTGTGCTTGAAGCTGCTATAGAGACCAAGGTGAGCTGAGGTAATTCTATACTTCTTTGTCCTTCGTCTTTTCAGTCATATTCCTCACTCTGTCTACCAGCATTTTGCTTTAACATAAATAACATCATGTTCTTTGATCATGTGTATTCATGGCAGACAGCATATGTGGATGTTTGTGATGACACAAATTATGCATTGCGAGCAAAGTCATTCAAGGATAAGGCCGTAGCTGCAGGGATTCCTGCAATAACAACTGGTGGAATCTATCCAGGAGTGAGCAATTGTGAGTATTGATTCTTCCCCCTTTTTATGACATCCTTCTAAAATATAAAAAAATCTGTAGGATCTTATGTTGTGGATTGTGGTATCATGACAGTGATGGCGGCAGAGCTAGTTCGAGTTGCGACAAGTGAGAGAGAGCCTGAGAGACTTAGGTAATCTGCTTAGATCCTTTGCATCGTGGATGATAATTCAATCAAATTTACAGCCAATTCATGCTTTCAGTGTGTTCTTCTCCAGGTTTTACTACTATACAGCAGGCAGCGGAGGAGCTGGCCCTACGGTTTTGGCCACCAGTTTCTTACTTCTTGGTGAAGATGTTATTGCTTATAATAAAGGTAATTTTAAAGATTTCCATATGAAGTTATTGCTTTTTAAGTGAGCTAGAGAGTCGTTTCTGTGCTACTGCAACAATGTTCAACGTTAAAGCCATATCTTATATTTAATCAGGAGAAAAGGTCAAGTTAAAGTCATTCAGTGGGATGGTCAGCGTTGATTTCGGGAAGGGCATTGGAAGCAGAGATGTTTACCTGCTGTAAGTAACTTCTGCACGAAAGAAAATTGCTCTCAGAGAGCTGCAAAAGCTTTCATTTGTAAGTTTGTAGATTGCTATGCTGGATTCTGTAGTTGATGTCTCTTATCAGAAAAGAAACATTACTGAAAAGATTGGTTTCATTATACGTCAATGAGAAAGAAGCTTTAAGTCTTGCCCATATTTGGTATAGAGATAACATTAGGAAGGAAGTTTGAGCCTTTTACTATTTTGGGCGACTAATCTATTTGCCAATTTGATTGTAACTAGTCAAAGCTAGTCAGTTGCGTACTTATGAAGCCTTACACATGCAGGAATTTACCTGAGGTACATAGTGCTCATGAGATCTTGGGAATACCAACAGTCAGTGCTCGATTTGGAACCGCTCCCTTCTTTTGGAACTGGGGAATGGAAGTCATGACGAATCTTCTTCCTCAGGTACCTTGTAAAAACAGTTTCCTATGTAATGTTATATTTCCTATGTAGGATCTTTTTGGTGATCAAGGTTAGATAGAGATCCAGACTAGGTTGAAGGTTTTCCATATCTGGAGAGAATAAGCCAATTATTAGCTATTTTCAAGTTCGCTCATTTACAGAAGCAGAGAACATGGTTCTCTAAATAAGTCAATCTCAGCTGCTTGCAAGAGCCATTAATGTTATTCGATAATATCGGAGATTGGCTGAACTTTGATTTTGCAGGAATTCCTGAAGGACAGAAGCAAAGTGGGTTCAATGGTACAGTTGTTTGATCCTCTTGTGCGAGCAGTAGATGGTTTTGCCGGAGAACGTGTTGCAATGCGGGTGAGAGCACTGAGAAGACAGACACCATGAAACTAACTAATAAACTATGAGTAGTGTTATAACTGAAGTTGAACTAATGACTCTGAAATATGTTTTTATCTAATGTGATTGGGAACAGATTGACCTGAAGTGTACAGACGGGAGAGATACCGTTGGCTTGTTTAGTCACAAGAGCCTCTCACAGTAAGTCCTATCCCCAAACACCTGTGCTTTGCCAAAGGGTAATATTTGTATATTAGTGCTTGTGAAACTATGAAGCCGACATTGTGAAAAACCAGATGCGTTGGTACTGCCACTGCTGCTTTCGCCTTAGCAGTCCTCGAGGGAAGCACACAGCCGGGAGTTTGGTTTCCAGAAGAGGTAACCAATTAGTAGCCACTAATTAGCCTATACGTGTAGCAAACTCGTATGCTATTATTCGCGTCAATTTGTCTTAAGGAACGGATCTAATGATTTTTCATGGTGCAGCCCGAAGGAATTGCAGTGGAGGCAAGGCAGATTCTCCTGGAACGAGCCTCTCAAGGCACCATTAGTTTCGTGATGAACAAGTAAGTACATCGATCGCTTTCATCGATATGGAAAAACTAAACCATCTATCTATTTTACGTACTAATTCTCGCGTGATTAACTATGCGAACCAAATCACTTGGCATGTATGCATGCAATTAGACATGGCAAAAATACTGCGGTTTTAGATTATGCCCCTGTTTGCTAATCAACTAATTAGATCATGTCCTGTTTCTTCTGTGCTTTCCTGATTTCGCGATGAAGGCCACCATGGATGGTGGAGACTAAGCCTAAAGAGCTCGGATTGGGAATCTACGTGTGAACAGAGTGATAAAGAGCTGTTCCTAAGTTTTGAGTGGCCTAAGGCCTGAAAGTGTGAGGAGTTGGTTAAGTTTTGTATCAAGTGCAAAGGTTTTTGACCGTTTATGCAAATTACCCTTAAGTTTTGGGTGTTGAGCTCTCTTATCCGGTCTTTATCCAGTTTTCGCTCCGGTCCCAAACAGTTTTTTACATTAAATCTAAACTTCAAAGATTGGATTGGATTGGATTGTTTACTATCCGGTCCCGATCCGATCTCGGTCCGGATTATACGATCCGATTTTGGGTAAAACAAAAAAAAAACCGGACCAAATAGCCAGAGCTATATACTTATACGTCAAATTAGAAAATATAATACTAGCAAAGCCAAACATTTAGAGTAAGGAGGTTAGCTTCATCACTCCCAACAATCCAAGCTCGTACCACGTGGCAGCCGCTCCTGACGACGGACGATGGCTCGAATAATATGATCCACTCCCCAACGAGATGGCTCCTGCAGCCTCAAAGCACCTTTGACAGGACCTGGAAATCTCAAGGACATAGATGGTAAAATCAGAACAACCCATTACTTATTAAAGAATAATTGTTGTTTTTTTTAAACAACAGAGATTTAACCCAAATCAAACTTGATTAATTACCTGGAGGAGGATAAGGAAGCTTTGGCGACGTTTTACGCAGAATTGCCTGCTTCAGCTCTTCTTTCTGCTTTCCCAGAGAGATTATATCAGCTTCAACGTCTTCCAAATCAGCTCTCATCAGATCCCATTCGTCGTTGTACACCGGAGACCGAGGCCGCCTGTCTCTCCAATAGACATTCTCGTCGCCGATTTCGTCCTTCCGGCGCCGAATGATTGCAGCCACCATCTGCATCGTCGCCTCTGCGGTGACGTTTTGGATGTAACCCTTGTAGAAGGCTGATTTCATGACACGATCCATGCTGATTTTTTTTTTTTGGAAAACACACAATAGTGAACACGACATTGATTAGATTAGTAGCTAAATCAAGCCAAAGGACGAGTAGCTAGTGATGTCAATTTTTTGACCTGACCAGCACGCGGTAGCGTGGGGCGGGATATGTGGTATTAAATTTCCACATATCATCATAATTTGCATCAATGTCTACTTGTATTTCTCCGGTTTCGACCTATTTCAAATTAAATTTTCATCCCAAATCTTTTTAAAGAGTACTCTATCTTTCGATTATTATTTCTACTATATCTCATTTATTTATGAAATATTTTTTTTACGACTTCTTGTAAAAGAGTTAAATATCGACGCTCATTTTTCAAAAAAAAAAATATAATAATGAATCGACACACATCCTGTTCTGTACCCGTGCGAATATTACTTGATCCGACTCGCACTTAGTACAGAGACGAGTGGATATTGAGATACCTGCCCGACCCCTGCCTAATTGCCATCACTAAGGACAAGTAGCTAAAGAATGAATTGCCATCACTAAGGACAAGTAGCTAAGGACAAGTAGCTAAAGAATGAATTGCCATCACTAAGGACAAGTAGCTAAAGAATGAAGAAAGGCAATTAATCACGTTACCAATTGATGAGGGAACGGAGGGAGCGGGGGAGTTTTTGCTTTGCTCTGAGTCTGAAACCAAAAGCTATAGCTTCCATCGTAGACGCCTTGCAGCTCCCTGTACCTTGGAATCGGCGTCGGCCAGCAACAAACTCTTGGCTGGAACACCCGGAGACCATGACCGTCCGGTAACCCTGCTAGTTCGCCAAAGACCTTCAGCTCTGCTTCCCTTGCCGAATCATCGTAGCACAATATCGCATTCTTGTTCTTGCCGGCGTTGCAACGAAAGAAGGCAATTTCCGGTTTGTGTGGATGTAGACCAAGCGGACGACAGCCATCCCCAACGATGTCGTAGTCGCAGCACTTTGATGTCTCGCTCAGCGATCGCTCAAACTGTTTCCCCCAACGGTACTGATCATCGCCTTCTTCTTCTTCGAGTCTCCACACGGTGAAACGAACGGGTATGGTTTCGTTTTCTAGTAACAAAAAGTGCAAAGCACCTTGTGAGACGTAAACGGACCACTTTCTTTCCACGGAGAATAATGCAGGAGGATCGATAGAAGCGGGAGGCATATCAAGACGGAAAGGATTAAACCTAGCCACCCAAAATTTACGAACATCGGGATCTTTATCATACGCCCAAAACAACTCCTCGTTGCATGAAACCAGGGATTGAAGGATAAACTCGTTACGACAAACAAGAGCTTCCTTGGCCCATTCTCCCGTCTCCGAACAAAACACGTCTATTTTTGAACCAACAAAAACGTCTATGTATGTACGCACCACCCGAAAACGATACTCGAAATAAACAAACGCTTCGCCATCATCATCTCCCAAATCAAGCTTGTGAGAAATACTGGGTTCACAAACTAACCCTGCTTGCTCCCGATAACTGCCGCGACAAGGCTTCCTAGGTGCTAAAGGAAGAGCGATCCACTGCTTCGTAAACGGATTGCAGACCAAGTACGACCTGCTTCGTTCGTCCTTCTCGTAATCTTCACCTAGATCCCAAAACCCGCATAAAACCAAGTCCTTGTTGCAGTCCAAAACTCTCAGAGTGTCTACAACTCCATGAGGCATGGGAGGGAGAAAGCCGCGGATGATCCCTAGCAGCTCCAACGGATCGTCCGGCATCGGCGGGTTCGTTTCCCGGCCGCGAGAAACGAAACGGCGGTTGAAACGGGGACCGGAGATGAGGGAGCTCCACCGCTTGCAGACGAGTTTGGAGGAGCAAGCGGATCTAGGGTTTGGGAGGCCGCGGATCAGAATCTCTACCAGGAGGTCGTCGCCGAGTTTGTTTATGGTCGTGGGAGGAGGAAGCTGGTGCTGGTTTGCTAATCCTGAACGGATCGTTCGTCGTCGTTTTCTGGAACGGCCACGGAGTACGTTTAGCGGGAGATCTCGGTCCAAGTCGCAGTAGTTCTCGCTCGCCATGGCGGTAGCTAGATGGATAGATATATAAAGACGGCCGGAGACGGAGGAGAAAGGATCAGATTGGTGGTAGCTAGCTAATTAATTAGGTTTCGTCATGTATGGTTTTGCTTCTATATGTATATATACAAACTTTGATCGGAAGAAATTGTCTCAACTCTGTCTCAAGTACTCCTAATCAATGGCCGACCCAGGATTGTCGGAGAGGTGTGTCGGAGATAAAATACAATAATAATTAAATTAAATTAATAAGTAGAAAGTAGAAAAAATTAATTCATAAAGTACACAATGTCATATTTACAACGAACCGCGACGACTTTTTATCTGCTGAAATGTCTCAAAAATACATTCATCACTTATTCTGCAAAGCAAATCTTTTTCAATATACACAACTAAACGATCATTCATAAATTGGTCACTCAACCGATTTCGAAGATCGTTATTGATTATCTTCATAACTAAAAATGCTCTTTCATAGCTTGCAGTTGTAACAGGTAATGATGGGGAGTTAGTGGCCGCTTGGGTTATTGGCCATTAGGCCTGTGGTTTTTTTTTTCTCTTTTAATTATAGGCCCAGGCCCAACACACATCACACATGTATATTGTATGAACGGAGATTTTTTTTTAATAGGAATTTATAGGGTTATAATTTATTAGTTATTTTAAACAAAATTAAAAAGGATTATAATTTAGATTGATTCATTTGAATAATAAATTCTTCGAGTATAATGAAGGTGTGTCGGTTATAATTACTGAAGGTGTGTCGGCTATCTCGAAATAAAAAAATTTATACCAAAAATATGTAGGTTCTTCGTAAAATTCTCGAGCAAGGGTGTGTCGGACGACACACCCTCCCTTGCCTTAGGTCCGCCACTGCTCCTAATCCGACAAAGGGAAACACAAGTAACTCGGTTTGTTAACAACGATGAATCTACGTACGTATTGTTTATGAAAGGTTAGGTTTAATTTTTTGTTTGAAGATATATTTTTCTATGTATTTACACGTTGATATCAGGCGGTTTTTCGGCCTCCATAATTGAAACTGTTTCCCCTCCCGAGCAATTCCCCAGTAAATCGTGCCTTCTCCATGCAGTTAACAGTTTGTATCACATCATCGTGGATCTGGTCGAGTTTGTGGGAGTCGAGGAAAGCTTTAGACTTGGGAACGGTTCGGGTGATTGGGTCTGGGGAGGATACGTGGTTTCACAAGGATCCATGGGTGCATCCTATTCAAGGGCATACCATCTCTTCGCTTTTGGATCCCCCTTCCCGCGTTTGTGATTGGATGTGTCAAGATGGCAAAAGATGGAACATGAACCTCATCCATCGGCACTGCTCCTCGGAAGAGGCGGATGCGATTTTTCGGATTCAGATTGGCCCGAACGGAGCACCCGACAAATGGGCGTGGAAGTTTAACCCAACAGGGAGTTTTTCGGTGCGAACGGCGTATCATGGCTTTCGGAATCATCTTAAAGAGGTGAACTAGCCCATGCCGAATGATCTGAATCTACCGGCCGATGACGATAAATGGAAATGGTTGTGGTCGTTGAACCTCCCGCCGAAAATTAGATTCTTTATGTGGAGGTGCATTCGCAATGCTCTGGCAACTAAGCTCAATTTATTCCGGCGGAAGTGCTCTCCCAATACGACATGCCAACTGTGTAACGGAGAGGAGGAATCACCAATCCATTGCCTTTTCTTGTGTTCTCATGCGGAAGCAACTTGGAGGACTTTGTTCCCGTCCAATGTCGTCCCTCAGAATATCACCCAATGGATCTTCTCCTTGCGTGAAGAAGGAAATGGGGAAGTTTGTCGACAGAAGATTTTCTGCCTGTGGAATATTTGGAAGGCCCGCAATGAATTTGTTTTCAAAGGAGTTGTCCCGTCCCCGACGAGGACCTCGATTTTTGCTTTTCGTGAAGCAGCGGAGCCTCATCTTACCCCCTTTTCTTCTTCAACCTTCAATCAGCCTAGGGAAATTCCATCTCTCTCATGTCCACCGCCATTTCATCCTCAAAAGAGGATTTACTGTGATGGCTCCTTTGATGTTGCTACGCAGGAGGCGGCTTTTGGAGTAGTTATTACTAACTCTGATGGACAGATCTGGGATGGAAAGGCTGGAAGAATTATTTGTTCGTCTCCAATTGAAGCTGAGGCACGAGCGATTTTAGAAGCGTGCCAATGGGCTTTTGAAGAGAGATCGCCAACGATGATTTTCTCCGATTGCAAGGTTCTTGTGGATGCTATCAATGGATGTCCGTCATCGTGGCCATGGAGATGTTATGCATCTTTGATAGCTATAACAAGAATTTTGCAGCAAGCAGAAAGACTTAGAATCTCTTTCATTAGTCGTCGTAACAACAAATATGCTGATTGGGTGGCGAGAAATTGTCGTCATGGCTCTCTCCATCATAATTGGCTTGAGGTTCTGAATGTTATATCTGATAGGTTGTAGCTTGTATCCGTGGCCCTTCAATTGGAAATGAATGAATGAATGTGTTATTCAAAATTGTATCAAATGTGGCATTTCTGGAACTTTTCCAAAAAGGATGTGTCATGGTATGGTCGGTTACGTTAAAGAAGGCCCAACCCATCAAGAGAATAGCAGCCAGCCCATATTCTGATTGGGAGACGTGAAAGTTGAAACTGAACAATCGATATCCCAACTCCTAAACCGAGAGGAGGACGAGCAGTTAGGTCAAGCAAGCAGTATGGAGGGACACTCGTGGCTTCGATCGCTCCACTCTCCGCGATTCTCCTCCGCCGTGAATTCCAAATACCTCCTCCCGGCCGCCGCCGGCGCCATCTTCCATTCATTCGTCTTTCTCCGATCTCGTTATTCCATGATCAGCCAGCTCGGAGACGACCTCCTCGTCCAGATTCTCATCCGCCTCCCCGACCCGAGACCGGCCTGCCGCTGCAAATCCGTCTGCAAGCGGTGGAATTCCCTCATCTCCACTCCCTCCTTCAACCGCCGCTTCGTTCATCACCACCGTCACTCGAATCACCATCTCCCTCTGCCGGACGATCCGAACGAGCTGCAATCGACCATCCGGAGCTTAAGCTTTCTCCCTCGCGCGTACGTTCTAAACGATTTGAGAGTTCTCGATTGCTTCAAGGACTTGGTTTTGTGCGGGTTCTGGGATTTGCATAACAACAACGACATACCGGGGAGATCGTACTTGATCTGCAATCCGTTCACGAAGCAGTGGGTAGCCCTTCCTCTAGCGCCTAATAAGCGTATAGGGTACAAACAAGCCGACGCAAGGTTAGTTTGCGAACCCCGCAATCCTAAGAAAGTACTTGATCTGAGAGATAACGACGAACCAGCGTTCGTCTATTCTTCCGAGTATCGGTTTCGAGTGGTGTGTATTTATCAGGTGGGGTCCACTACGGAGCTAGACCTGTTTTTTTTCGGAGACGTGGAAATGGAGGAGGGAGGTTCTTGATCTCCGCGACTGTGTGAGGTCCGGAAACAAGAGCGTAGTTTCGTCTTCGTGCAACGGGAAGTTGTTCTGGTCGTATCACAAACTCGACGATCTGAGACAAGTAGGCCGGGTCCATTATTCGGTGGCTGCCTTCGATCCTTTCCGTTTTGATGCATGTCGTCGTCCCGCTTCCATTGATGTTTCTGCGTTCGCCGCGAAACCTTGGTGGGTGATTTCGGTCTCGCAGGGCGCGTTGCACGTGATTGCATTCGAGGGGCGCGGAGCAGGTGAAGTAGGCGGGTGGCGCTTAAGCGTCTGGAGACTGGAAGAAGACCGGCGATCATGGAGGAAACTGTGTGAAGGGTTGGTGAGCAAGAACAAGACAACGAGGTGCGGGAAATATCGAGTCGAGAGGTGCGATGGCGAGCTTTGCCTGCATCCGAGTAAGCCGGGAGTTGTGTTGTTCAACTGGCTTGATGGTGATCATGATGCGAATGCTATACTGTCCTGGGATCTGCGAAGAGAAGAGGTGGAGTTGTTTGCTGAACTAGAAGGAGGCCCTGGTGTCTGTCGTTTCATGGTGTTCCAGCCTCGTGTCCATTGTTGGCCTACTTCGATTCGAGGTTTTAAAAATCGTACCCTATTGTCCCGTTAGAGACTGATAAGGCAAGTGCGGTCTTAGCCTATGTAACATGATAACTTGTGGTGAAAAATTTTACAATGCTATATATTATTGGTGCTATAGGTTTTTGTCTTTATGGTACAACTTAAAATTGTACATTTACGTTATGGTACAACTTTAGATTGTACCTATACTTTTTGTACAAATTCTTTTATGGTACAACTTGAACTTGTACTTTTATGTGATGGTACCATAACATAATGGTACAAATTGCATTATGGTACAACCTAAACTTATACATTTAATGTTATGGTACAACCAACTTTGAGTTGTACATTAAAGCACCAATGCTATATAGCATAGTAGAAGTGCTCAACTTGTGGTATGTTTTAGGAGACTTGTGGTTTGCCGTATTTGTATGCTTTTTGTGGTTTGTTGTCTGCAATAGCAGTTTCTGATATGCTTTTTGTGATTTGATTTACCATGTTTGTGGTTTATATTAGAAAGTTTCTAATTTATTTATGAACAACGAGTGTTCGACAAAAGCAACAATCGAAACGGATTTTTCGAAATCAACAACGAGTATTCGAAACACAAGCATGAATTCATACCCTCAACAAATGCATATTAGAAACAGAATAAATCATTGAAAAAACAAAAAATCCGTCTTCTCCACCACTACTATATATCTATATCTATCTATATATCTATATATTGGAAATGCAACAAACACATAAAAGCTTCTCTAATAATTTTTAAATTCTTATAAAAGATTTGACCTGTATATGCAAAGTTTAACACGGCCGAAACCAAACCCATTATAACCAGCCCAAGCCCATAACTCACATTGGGCCAGACCCAATCCTTATAGGATTCATTTTACTCTCGGAAAAATGTAAAGACCAAAGAGAGGTTCGGGATTCTAATCTCCTTCCTCTTTTTAACTTTTAAGCCAAGCCTTCTCCGTTTTCGTCACCCGAGCTCGTATAGTATTAGTACCGCATCTTTTCTCCCCCGGCGCCGGCATCGGAGTTATCTTCCCTCAATCCGTCTGTTTGTCTATCGTCATGGTCGCCGATAGCTGCTACGCGGAGTGGGATCTGCCGTTAAGCGAGCTCTTCCACCGTTCCGCCCCCAGAAAACGGCGGCGAATCAGTTCAGAAGGAAACCCTCCTCCTCCCGCCATCATCGGCAAACTCGGAGACGATCTCCTCGTCGAGATTCTGATTCGCCTCCCCAATCCCAGATCCGCCTTCCGCTGCAAACCCGTCTGCAAGCAGTGGAGCTCCCTCATCTCCGATCCCAGCTTCAATCGCCGTTTCGTTGCTCACCACCAGAGCATGAACCTGATCCAACCACCTATGCCGGACGACCAGAAGGAGCTGCAATCGATCATCCTCAGCTTTCTCCCTCCAATGCCCAGCAAAATTGGAGCCAGGTTCAAGGTTTTGGATTGTTTCAAGGACTTGGTTTTATGCGGATTCTGGGATGTAGATTACGACAACAGCGAGCAGTGCAGATCCTACTTGGTCTGCAATCCGTTTACCAAGCAATGGATGGCTCTTCCTCTAGCGCCTGAAAAGGCAAAGGGATACCAAGCACCGTTTGCCAGGTTAGTCTGTGAACCCAGGAGCAGCTCTAATTGTAATCTTGATCTAGGAGATGACCGAGTGTTTGTTTATTCCCCTGAGTATCGCTTCCGGGTGGTGTGTATATATTCTCAGATGATGTCTGTAAAACTAGACTTGTTCTGCTCGGAGTCTGGGAAATGGACGAAGGAGGCCCTTGTTCGTCCCGGTCACATCAAAATTGGGAACAAGAATGTAACTTCGTGGAATGGGGAATTGTTGTGGGTGTATATTGAAACCCGAGATTTCGATGCTGGCCGGATTGATCCCGTAGTGGCTGCGTGGAATCCTTTCCGCATTGATATACCTCCCACTTGTATCGACGTCTCTGCATTCTATGAGAAAGAGCGGTGGGACATTTCCGTATCGCAAGGTGCTCTGCACGTTGTTGCGTTAGAAGAGCAAACCGTGCCTACTTGTTCGAGCGTTTGGAGGCTGGAAGAAGACCGTAAATCGTGGAAGAAACAGTGTGAAACGTTGTTGAAGACAGCAGTGGGGTTCAACTATCAATGTAAGAGCAGTTGTCTACCTTTTCTTCATCCAAATAACCCGGAAGTAGTCTTCCTCCATTGTAGGGGCGGTCCTGATGACAATGCTATATTGTCCTGCGATTTGAGGAAGGGAGAGCTCGAGTTCTTTGCTAAATTAGAAGTACTTGCGTGCCGTTTTACTGTGCTCCAGCCTATTAGGGTGGCTTGCTGGCCGACTCCAATTCCAAGGTACGAGGAGTTGAGAGGCATGTACGATGGAAGTTACAGCTTTTGGGTTCAGAGCAGCACTGAAGCAACAACTCCGTCCCTTAATAATTGGTAATTGACAACATGGCAACATAGATGTTGAATCATTCCTGGAATGTTTGTGATTGATCGGAAGATGTTAATGGTGATTGGTGAGAAAACAATAATGTATCTGCGTTGCCGTGTGTTATTGGCGATGATAAGAAAGCCCTGTCACTTGTTATTTAGCTTAGTTTTCTTCCTCGAACTACAACCAGATTTGGTTCCATTTCTGTTGATACCGTAAGCTTAACAAGAGCCTCCTGGGTGCACTCTCCCGATTCAGAACAAAACAAGTTCAGCGTAACGTGTCAAGCTGACACGGTTTTACGTTTGGATTCCTTCTCAAAATGTCTCGTATTAATTGGATTGGGTGGACACTCATATATATAAAGGTTATTTCTTATATTTTCGAGGTGACATTTGGATCGTACCATAATACAAACGATACATATATACTTCCATGCTTGCATCAACCTGCTAAGATCTCTTAATCAATTAGAAAAGAAATCCGACTCATCAGTATACGAACTTTACCTATTTCGTCCCGATCAAATCGTAGGACAAGATATACGCCTTCCTACAATGAACAACATCGCGAAAATATAAGAAGACGATTTCGGTCTTCTGCGGGTGCATACCAACTCTGAAACACTGCTTGATCTCATAACTACTACACATTGATGCTGCTGACGACGATTACGATATCGTCTCTTTCAACAACCACCTCGTGCAATTTCTGCCAAGATTCACCGGTCTTCGTCCAGTCTCCAAACGATCAATGCATTCCTCGAGCAACCTTCGGATTCGAGTTCTAGTAAAACTATGTGCAGAACACCTTGCGAGACCGAAATCTGCTTTATATAGTCGGCTCCGGAAATACCAAAGAATCGTAAGTCGATGTAAGCTGTACACCAAAAGGGAAAGGATTCACCACAACGAGTACTAGATAGCTAAACCAGTCGTCATCATCATGACCGGGTCCATCATCGGTTTGTCTATATGCCCCGTATATTTTCGCATTGCACGGATTTAGGGTTTAGGGTTTGGGAAGCTGCGGATGAGAATTTCGACGACGAGATCGTCGCCCAGCTTGTTGATCGCCACCGTCGTGGGATGAGAACCTAACGAATTACGATGTCGCCAACTGCATGGCCGCCGACCAAAACCCTAGGGTGCTATAGTTAATATATTTTTTATATGCTGGTTATTCGGCCACGGTTTCCTAGTCTGATTAGGAATGCAACTTCTCACGATTGGTTTAATCGTTGTCATGTCCTGGGGTTTCGGATGGTAAAACGATCGAGGTAATATTCTTATGAATATATTAATGGGTCGTTTAGGAAGTTGCTATTGTTTGTGTGGGATTGTTCCTATATACTTGTATTGTTTAGAATACAAGACAAATCAAATAGTAAACCTAGAAAATTGAAGAGAATCGACAACCATTAACCATAGTTTGCTGCATAGTCTAACATCAATCATCTATTTTACAGATACTTATTATATTTTTCCAATAATCGATGTATAGTTAAGATATATTGGATGATTTTTAACCACCTAAATTTTACGGCCACCAAAAAAGAAGTTGAACCACACCAATCGACAATATCCACCCACATACGCATTTAATGGGTTATAATCGAGTGTGTTCGAATGGGTTTAACGCGATTGAGCTACCATTATTCATCACTAATTAATAAATATGCCATGAAGTATGAACTATGAACCACCCTCATTATTATCGAAATGAGGATAAGAACACCTCCCTCTCTTTTCCAACATCTTTTCCCAGCAACTCAAATGAGTGATTCACCATCTTCGTAACACCTATCTTGAGAACCCTCTCTTTCCATCATCTTTTCCCAGCATAAAAGTGATTCACCATCTTTGCAACACCTAGATTTAGAAGCTAGCAATGGATTACAAAACTATATAGTAGTGAGCTTTCTCAAACTAGGAATCCAGGGAAAAGAGACAAAGAAAACAGAATCAGAAAGAGCAAGAGCAAAACAAGTTGTTGTTAATTAAGTATACAATACACATACCTTCTTAGAGCATAAGAAATTGCCAATTACTGAGGAAGGAGTTACTTGGCTGCTGCTGCTGTTCCTGTTCCGTTGAACACAACAGCGGTATCTTCCATCGTATAAACCTCGTAGTTTCTCGTATCTTGGAATCGGGGTAGGCCAGCAACAGATCCTAGGCTGGAATAGCTTCCAGAACCATGAATGTTCAGCAAAGAACCCTGCCTCTCCCGTCCTCGTATCGATGTACAATATGTTAGGCTTGTCGCCAAATCTTCTACCATAATATTCGAACAAGACAATCTCCGGCTTCTCTGGGTGCAGGCATGCAATATGAAAATTTTCGATGATGTCGTACTTATGCTCTAATGTGTCTTTCAACGACACTTCGTATTGTTTATTCCAAGATATATGGTGGTCGTGGTCTTGGTCTTCTTCCAGTCTCCAAATAGTCAACGAGTAGGATTCAAACACCTCGTGACACTGAAATATGTGTAATGTCAAAACTTTTCCGTGTAGATGAAGGGTCATCAACACGAATTGGAGGTGAATCGAGGTGGAAAGGGTCGACCCCAACAATAGGACTAGGACCAAAGGTATACAGAAACAGTCTGCCGTTGCTCGTAACTATTTGAGCATCACTACATATAAGATCATCACGAAGGTCCAAGACAAGAGCATCTTTGGTCCATTACATGTCGACTTTCGCAGACTTGGCTGTCCCACCTCATCTTCATCCAGACATACCACCCTAAATTGGTATTCGTAAGTAGAACGGGGTCGACAAACTAACCTAGAAGCGAATGCATAATATTCATCAATTGGCTTTTTTGGCACTAAAGGAAGGGCGATCCATTGCTTCATAAACACGTTGCTTGCAACAAATAACGATCAGACAAATGTGGGTTCGATCCACCTCGGGAATGAAAACCCGCATAAAATAAAGTCTCTATATTTCTTTTTTTTTGAAATACCGACGATGATCTTGCTCGGGCCAATTAATTGATTTTTTAGTGTTTAAAAATCATGGTTGTCACGCCGGACGGCATGCCACCGGTTGTACCAGGTTCAACCGATACCAGTCATAAAACCGGCGTGACACCACCGGGTTCAATACGATAAAAATTATTTTATTATTTATTTTATGAGTATAAAAGTTAAATATTGATGTTATTTGTTGGATTCAAGTATAAATGCTAAGGTATTTACGTTAAATGTCATGTTTAAATATGAGTATTTATAATTTTATTTGTAATAATGACCGGCATGAACCGACACAAACTGGTATGAGCCACCGATCGAACCATTCTACTTGCTAAACCGGCACACTGGCATAAACCGGTTTGACAATCTTGTTAAAAATAGTCAAATATTAAGCAAAGAAATATTGGGATCCGGAAAAAGAAGAGTTTCCCGCTACTACATCGCCTTCCTCAAGAAATATTTGGCTTCTATCAAACTCGCCAAATACTCTGGTACGTGCTCCAAAATAGAATTAGAGAATCTGTGCTTTCTGATTACTAGTGTTTAGTGCATAGTTAGAGGAAGACGAATTGACGAATCAGTTGGATAGAATCAGTGTTTTCTGATTGTTAGGGTTTAGTGCGTAGTTAGAGGAAGACGAATTAAAGAATCAGTTTGTGTTGTTAGGGGTTAGTATTAGGTGGATCCTCCTGATTATCGAGCATTTTTCCATGGACAGAGGCTATTGCTGATGCAGGCAGGGCGATTGAAATTGATGCTTCATTTGCCAAAGCCTACTTGATCCAAGGGTTAGTAGCTGAATTGAATGGAAGTTAGATAGGTTGCTTTGTTTTCGGACCTTGGGATCATTTTTGCTTATCACTTACTGTGTTGATTTATGCCTATGTGATTACAGCAAAGCATTAATAGGGCTAGGGGATTATAAGGCTGCAAGAAAAAAACTTAAAGATGGGACAGCTCGAACAGAGGAGAATCTGAAACCAACTTTCACTAATTTGATTGATGAATGTGAAGCTCACATTACTGGTAGGCCCTCTTTTCTTGGCTATGTTGGATTGGTTTGGGAAATATGTGAGTCAGCATATGTAGCTTGGTGGTTCAGAGTCGTATTTCGATTCAATAACCCGAGTAAGGTTTGGCTTTTGATGTGGAATGACTCGTCATTGTGCAGTTTGAATGTCTTGTAGTTCGGGTGCAATGTATGTGGAATTGCTGTATTCTTGATGATTTCACTTATGGTTAGTCTGTAAGCAAGTTGATGATGGGTGTAATTCCTTTAGCGATGACCATTTAGTCCAATAGGTGTGTTTGGACATATTGTTGTGCAATTCCAAATTGATGTGGAATTTGTAAGGTTGTCGCTGTGCTGATATGCTTGGCTCCAATTCCAATTGATGTGGAATTTGTAAGGTTATTGCTGTGCTGCGCTGATATACTTGGCTTGAACACAACGAGTTGTCCATGTTGATCCTCTTAGAAAGTAGCAGTTCTTCCTGGTTTCTGATGTTGGATTTGTTGTGGAAGTAATATGAGTCATCTTGTGTTCTGTGTAATGTTGGTTTCTTGGCAAGTGAGGCTTTGTTCTGTGGAATGTTGGTTGGGGTCTGCTGTGTTGTGTATGGCTGCTCTTGGTTGTTATGTCTAGTATTATTTTGATGGGCATGCTGATCTTCGATGCTAGTAGCAAAGTTTCCTGCTAGTGTAGCTAATTGTTGAGCTATCTTTCCACTAGTGCTTGTCTTGGCATCTGCGTTTTTCTTCTATTCCCTTGTAAACTTAGTTTACACTAAAATGCTTGCTTGATGTTTTCTTTTTTTTGCAGGGGAAACAGGCCAGCTTCCAAAGGAAAACTAAATACATCAGGAATCGACTCCCAACAGCACATCATTCATACTGACAAATTCATGCCCAATTGTCCATAGAGAAGTTTGAAACATACTGTCTCTGTCTATTCTACCCTGCTACTGACATCAACTTGCCCACGAACCCTCCAGAATCTCTTGGTTTGATATTCAGGGGTGTGTTTGGATCTCCTGATCCAGGGTCTAAGTACATGTTTTCTTGGTGCCCAATCTCTGTATCTAGGGTGCCATGTGTATCTACTCGGTGTCTCAGCATACAACATTGACTGACTGAGCTTTTGGTTCTCTCAGGTTTAGGCTAAAGCACTTTAGAAAACTGTGATTTGTCTGAAACTTGATTCAGGAATTGGGTTGATTGAGAAATGAAGAAGAACAGGAAACGTTGCAGCTTGCTGGGCCTCCTCACTCATTCTGAGCCCAACGACAATCTAAAGGGTAAAAGGGCAAGAGACAGAACTGCAGCGTTTCCTGTTCTTCTTCATTTCTCAATCAACCCAATTCCAGAATCAAGTTTCAGACAAATCACAGTTTTCTAAAGTGCTTTAGCCTAAACCTGAGAGAACCAAAAGCTCAGTTAGTCAATGTTGTATGCTGAGACACCGAGTAGATACACATGGCACCCTAGATACAGAGATTGGACACCAAGAAAACATGTACTTAGACCCTGGATCAGGAGATCCAAACACACCCCTGAATATCAAACCAAGAGATTCTGGAGGGTTCGTGGGCGAATTGATTTTAGTAGCAGGGTAGAATAGACAGAGACAGTATGTTTCAAACTTCTCTATGGACAATTGGGCATGAATTTGTCAGTATGAATGATGTGCTGTTGGGAGTCGATTCCTGATGTATTTAGTTTTCCTTTGGAAGCTGGCCTGTTTCCCCTGCAAAAAAAAGAAAACATCAAGCAAGCATTTTAGTGTAAACTAAGTTTACAAGGGAATAGAAGAAATACGCAGATGCCAAGACAAGCACTAGTGGAAAGATAGCTCAACAATTAGCTACACTAGCAGGAAACTTTGCTACTAGCATCAAAGATCAGCATGCCCATCAAAATAATACTAGACATAACAACCAAGAGCAGCCATACACAACACAGCAGACCCCAACCAACATTCCACAGAACAAAGTCTCACTTGCCAAGAAACCAACATTACACAGAACACAAGCTGACTCATATTACTTCCACAACAAATCCAACATCAGAAACCAGGAAGAACCGCTACTTTCTAAGAGGATCAACATGGACAACTCGTTGTGTTCAAACCAAGTATATCAGCGCAGCACAGCAGCAACCTTACAAATTCCACATCAATTGGAATTGGAGCCAAGCATATCAGCACAGCGGCAACCTTACAAATTCCACATCAATTTGGAATTGCACAACAATATGTCCAAACACACCTATTGGACTAAATGGTCATCGCTAAAGGAATTACACCCATCATCAACTTGCTTACAGACTAACCAGAAGTGAAATCATCAACAAGAATACAGCAATTCCACATACATTGCACCCGAACTACAAGACATTCAAACTGCACAATGACGAGTCATTCCACAGCAAAAGCCAAACCTTCCTCGGGTTATTGAATCGAAATAAGACTCTGAACCACCAAGCTACATATGTTGACTCACATATTTCCCAAACCAATCCAACATAGCCAAGAAAAGAGGGCCTACCAGTAATGTGAGCTTCACATTCATCAATCAAATTAGGGAAAGTTGGTTCAGATTCTCCTCTGTTAGAGCTGCCCCATCTTTAAGTGTTTCCCTTGCAGCCTTATAACCCCCTAGCCCTATTAATTCTTTGCTGTAATCACATCAGCATAAATCAACACAGTAAGTGATAGGCAAAAATGATCCCAAGGTCCGAAAACAAAGCAACCTATCTAACTTCCATTCATCTTCACACAGGTCACAAGCATTCCAAGAAAAGTTCAACCTTTGGGTATAGCTGAGAACTGGATGAACATCATCTTCAATGCATGGATAGAGTTTAATTCCAGCAACATCATCCTGCTTAGAAGACGAGCTTAGCTAATGACTGAGGAGGGAAGCTAGGAACTGCTCCTTCATTGCCACTCTGAGCCCAAAATTGGTAGCTACCGTTGTACATGCCACGCAACTCCTCGTAACTTGGAATTGGAGTAGGCCAGCAATGGACACGAGGCTGGAACACTACAAAACGATTGACAGCAGGCCCCCCTTCTAGTTTAGCGAACAACTCTACCTCTTGTCTTTGCAAATCCCAGGACAATATAGCATTCGTATCATCACCAGCAAGCCAGTTGAATAAGACAACTTCCGGCTTGTATGGATGCAGAATAGGTAGATAACAGCTATCAACTTGATAGTTACCACACTTTGATGTCTCATTCACCAAACCCTCACACAGTTTCCTCCAAGATTTACCGTCTTCTTCTTCTAGACTCCAAATGCTTAAACGTCGAACAGGTGATGCGTTGTCTTCAAATGCAATAACGTGCAGCGCTCCCTGTGAGACCGAAATCACCCACCAAGGTTTCGCAGAGAATGCAGAAACATCAATAGAAGTCGGGGGTATATCAAGTCGGAAAGGATTAAAGGCAGCCACCAAACGATTAATCTGGCCAGCTTCCAAGTCTTCAACTTTATGATACGACCAGAACAACTTCCCATCCGACGACGAAATTATACGTTTGCAACCGCGCCTGATATGACCTTTAAGAACAAGAGCCTCCCTGATCCATTTCCCAGACTCTGAACAAAAGACGTCTAGCTTCGTAGTCAAGTCCACTTGATACATACATATTACTCGGAACCGATACTCGGAAGAATAAACAAATGCGGCTTTGTCATCATCATCATCATCTCCTAGATCGAATTTCTTAGGATTGCAGGGTTCACAAACTAACCTCGTGACGGCTTCATCATACCCAACAGACTTTTTAGGCGCCAGAGGAAGGGCAATCCACTGCTTGGTGAAGGGATTGCAGACCAGGTAGGATCTTCCCAATTCGTCGTTGTGGTTACCCAAATCCCAGAACCCGCACAAGACCAAGTCCCTGAAGCAATCCAGAACTCTTAAAGCGTCTCGAACGTATCTAAGAGGCATGCGAGGGAGGACGCTCCGAATGGTCGATTGCAGCTCGTTGGGATCCTCCGGCATAGGAAGTTGAAGCTGGTTCAAATTCAAACCCTGGTGGTGACAAACGAAGCGGCGATTGAAGGAGGGTCTGGAGATGAGGGAGCTCCACCGCCTGCAGACTGTTTTACATCGGCAAGCGGATCTAGGATCGGGGAGGCGGATAAGAATCTGTACGAGGAGATCGTCTCCGAGCTGGCTGATCATGGAAGGAGGAGCTTCTGAACGGATCCGACGAGGACGTTTCCATGGGGCGGAACGGTGAAAGAGCGCTCTTAGCGGCAGATCCCAATCCGAGTTGTAGATCTTGGTCGACATTGCGGTTGGAAGAAAGATAGCGCCGGCGGCGGACGAGCTACTGAAAAGCCCCGAAGCGAATTTTACTTAACCGGCGACCGCTTCCTTGTTCGGAACCTCATCCTTCTCGGGTTAGGACTTGGGCCCGATTGTTTTGTTTCAAGCCCCACAATGTGAATATGGGCTGGGCTGCTATTCTCTTCATGGGCTGAGCCGAATTCTTTAACCGAGCATGTTTGAAACTTTTGTTCTAGTGGTTTCAATTTTAACTCGATTATCAAAGCACCAACTCCATGGTCCATGAAACCGTACTGGAAAAGTCAGTTATTTTATGGCAAAATCGTGGTTTAATCGTAGTTCAACAGTTTGTTAAATACCGTCTATCGGTTTAGTCTCCGATACTGATATTTTTTGGTTGAACCGCCGGTACGATATAGTTTCATGGACCATAACCAAATCACATCTACAAAATCGAAGTAATCGATGGCAACCACCGACGGAAGGCTCCAAAATAGAGATGTTAATTTTTGGTTGGTTATCTTCTAATGAAGGGTAATGGAGATGGAGATCTTTATTGTCAAATTTGAGAAAAATTGCAATTTTGGTCACTAGAATTACTTAAAAATAGGATTTTGGTCATTGATTTTTTTTTATATATTCGCGATCACTAAAATTAGGTAAACATTTCATATTTCTCTCCATTAGGTGGGTATGGGGTATGATTTTAGCCTCCCTGCCCATACCCATACCCATACCCATACCCGCTCACCAAGAACATTTCTTCACATTTAAAAAATACATTGATCAAATTGTAACCTATCAATAATAGTGAGAATAACTCAAAAAAATAAATAGTAGAAATGCAATTGAATTGTTGCCTAAATCGAAACCTAATTCTTTTTCATCAACTCTCCCTTCACTCTTTCACTTTTCCCCTCGTGTTAACAAGATATATTAGTTAGTTATTACTTTATAGATGTATCGGAGAATAATAATGTGTATTACATTGTACTATATCTTATGGATTAATAGATGTTTTAGGATAAGATGTTTTAAATCGTGTTAAAAAATAAAAATGATTGTCTATTTGTAGACTTCTTGATATAGTACTTGCGTTTAGTTTTATGAAGATGGTGAATCAGTCTTAGGCCGAGAAAAAAGATGCTGAAAAAGAGAGTGAGGTGTTCTTACCCTCATTTCAATACATAATAAGGGTGGTTCATACTTCATGGTAATATTGATTGGTGATGAATAATTGGTAGTTCAATCGCGTCAAACACACCCATATCCACTCGATTATAACTCATTCAATCTATATGCGGGTGGATATGGTCGATTGGTGTGGGTCAACTTCTCTTTTTGTGCCCGTGAAATTTAGGTTGGTTATTGAGACTCAACCATCCAATATATCACAACTAATATATGTTCTATAATATATCGAAACAGCCCAACATGTAGTATTGATCTCTGCTAATGGTTAGGGGAATCCAGTTTGCTCAAACAGACGATCCTGCAGTGGTGGAATTGCTTGTACTTCGCGAGGCTATTATTTGGTGTATGGAGTAAGGTTTGTCGGCAGTCCGATTTGAGGGCGATGCTAAGGTGATTATTGACAAAATTAATAAGGCCGACACAAGAGATAGCCGGTTGGGTGCTGTGCTTGAAGAGATTGTTCTTTATTTTCGTGCTCAGTCTGGCTTTAGTGTGCGTTTTGTAGGTCGGGAGAACAATAGGGTAGCTCATTTGGTAGCTAGGAAAGCCCTCTCTTTGTATCCGACTATGAATCGCTTCTTTGATTTCCAGACCTGGCTGGTTTCCATGGTGTAACTATCTTCTGTTATGATCAATATATGATATCTTTTGACAAAAAAAAGTCAAAAAAATTTATTGATCTCTGCTGAATGTTCAACATAATTGGATTATGTAGCTATACATCTGGCAGAATCCCAGATAAGAAAACAAATTTGATTACGACAAGTTCAGCAAAAACAATGATCCAGACAGAAGAAAAGGAAATCATTAATAGAAAGAAAGAAAAAAAATGTATGAGGTTATACAGAATCTTTTTACCCTTTTCTGTGTGCATTAGTTCTTGTTACACTATGCCATTCAGTCTCTTTCTATCTGCACATCTGCTGAAGCTATACAGAATCTTTTTACCCTTTTTCTGTGTGCATTAGTTATTGTTACACTATGCTCTTGCCTTCCATTTCTTCATGTAGTATTAGTTCCCGAAAGGTCAAAACCCATTCAACTTAAAGAGGGGTAAACAACACCATACACAAACCAAAAAGGAAACCCCAATCAGGTCAAAACTACAATTCACTTCTCTTACTACAATTCACTTCTCTTCCCCAACTATCAGCACGTGTAGATCTAGCATAACCTATTCCATCGCAGTCGCTAAATACGAACCTGGAGATTCAGGTCAGGTTCTGAGCTCACGACGAGCCTTCTTCGTCCTTCCTGCTTGCTAGGCCGAGACTCATTTCATAAGACTCAATCCGGAGTCTTCTTTGTGGGAATCAAACGATGTATGATCCGAGCGAGAGTGCCACTTTGAGGGGCATAGGCGGGATAGCTTATCGACCATATGCTCGCCAAACCTCTCTCCAGTGTCTCCTGGAACCACCACCTCTATCGAATTGAGAGTTGTGGTGGGTCTCTTGATATGCTCTACCGAAGCTGTTGTTTCCGCCGCGTTTTTTCTGTGCATTCCTCATCTCTTCCTCCAGATCATACTGCGACCGCTGCAGGGAGAAAAATAAAGGAACAGTAGATAGTTAAATACAATGCCAACAGCGACAGACAAAAATAATTGACATGATATAGAACAAAGGTATCTGGCTAAGAGACCTTGGCAGGGTCTGAGAGGACAGCATAAGCCTCTCCGATCATTTTGAAAAGTCTGTCGGCATCTTTATGGACTTCTTCTCCTATCTCCTTCCAGAGTCCATCATCGCCATTTTCACCCCTCGCCAAGGATTGACCGGCCTATTTTGTAAGCAATGATTTTCTTTTCAGAAGATGAATAACGAATGAAAAGCAAGTCATATAGCTGCACACAACAAAAGGAGAATATAGACACCTTGTCGGGATGGTGTCTCAAAGCAGCTTTCCGGTATGCTTTCTTGATTTCTGCAGCTGATGCAGAAGGCTCAACACCCCTGCAAGCCATTGGTACAAGACACTATTCAGAGTAATACTGTGTTGTGTTAAGAAGTTCAGAATAGTATTCCGTAGAACAATATACATGCTCAAACAATCATATTGAAGAAACTAGTATGAACGCATCAGGAACCGGGAAAACTTACAAGATGAGATAGGCATTCAATGGAATCTCCTTTCTATCTTCTTCTTCCACGTTAGAGAGACGAAGACGAGCTTGTCTTAGATCATTAAGCAAGTGCGTAGACCCATCGCCTTGGCCGAGCTGATTGGTTTTGTCATCTGCCTGTCTTGTGAGTGCAGATAAAAGTCTCTCAAGGTCTTTAGCTGCCTGCCCATAATCTCTAATCATCTCATATAGAGTGGCCCGTCTAGAAATTGCCTGTTAAAATGAAACACCACACAAGGATATTGGTTATCGGCAAAACTAAAAGCACAATCTCTAAAAAAGAAAAATTCCAAATCTCGAAGATTAAGAGGAACCAACATTGCATTCACCATACTTATAAATTTGACAAAAAGTGAAACAATAAAGTAAGCAGCCCGCCTCAACAGTCCACTATGTATCACAAAATTATGCCTATGCTTCACTGTATAATATGTTTGTTTCAATATGCTCCAATGCCATCCAAGCTAACTGTTCAATCAGAACCTAGCCCTGTTTCCCTAAATTTTGTTAGTATCAGTCAAGAGATTTGAATTTAGGGTAGGAAGTCGTTTCTATCCACCTATGACTAATAGACCAGCCACTTTAGAGGTGATTGATCAATAAGTTTCAGTCCTGCAAAACCTTCTGGAGTTAAGCTTGCTGAATGAATCCATGATTATAAAACCTGGGTGTCTGGATAATAGCGGCAAGTTCAGCTAATGACTAAAGCGTTTATCAAATCTCCACATATTTAGACAAACATCAAAGCAGTACAGGGGAGACAAAAAGAAAACTGACCCCAATCATTCAACTATACCTCTAGGACAAAGAAAAACAGGCATAATTAGAGGAAAACCTTCAGGTAATTTCCATCAAGTGCTATCGCAAAGCTGCAGTCAGCAATGGCATCAGTAAGTTGCCCCAACTCCTTATACGCAGCAGCTCTGTTACAGAAACAAATAGCTGCGAAAGGGCGGGACTCCACATTGCGCGACAGAACAGCAGTATAGTGTTCAATGGCTTCGGAATGCTTTCCTGCTTGAAATGCTTCATTTCCTGCAACCTGTAATTGAGAACATGACACATCATGAAGTTTATTGAATATGCCTTTAATACCATCATGACAGTCACGCATTGAATAACTATATTGGACAAACTAAGCAAGTATGGTGACCAGTCTAGCCTTATGTTAAAAATTCTTTAGCGAAAATAGCTGGTGCAGTTGAATCACATAAAAACTCATTAATATTTAAACCTTCTGGCTCCACAGGATCTATCAATAGCCTTTCACCATGTCCATAATAGTCACTAAATGCCAGCTGTTCAAACACACAAGGAATTTCAAACATCATCAAGTTTTAAGCATTTCACCTTATGGTGTAAGAGTTCCCGTGCTGTGGAAGCCAACGGTATTAATGATTCCAGGTAGCTGCTGAAAATAAGTCACCTTCAGGATCATTGAGAAAAGAAGAAACAGTAGTTCATCAAGGCAATCTACAAAAAAATTGAAAACTGGGAAGATATACCAGTCAGAAGCAGCATTGGGATCCCCTTGTTTCTCCAATGAGCTGATGGCTTCCTCCAGCCTCCCAAGATAAAAGTACGACATAAAAGTCAAGCGGCTGCGCCAAAGCCTAAAGGAGGGTTCCCTCTTTGGGGCAGCTGCTTGGTCAGCATGAGCCAGATCATAGTCAGCAGGTACAGAGGGAGAATTCTTTTTGGCAGAATCAAGAGTCTGCTCACACAACATAATTACCTCTTCATAATTGTGAAGCTGCAATACGAACAGAAGTTCATTCAGTACTTACCAAAGTTTTAGCCCCATCAAACTCTTAAATATACATTTCATAGTTTGGAGTTTTACGGAGCTATAAGGAGACAAACCATGAAGAGGGCCTGTGCTTTAGTTTCAACTAACTTGTCACCAAATGGACTAATGAGCAAAGCCTCGGAAATAACTTCCACAGTGCTCCCTGCATCATTCAGTGTTCTCCTTTCTAAGAGTTCAGCAGCCCGTTGCATACACTCCATCACTTTCTGTCAGCCAGAAAGAACAAATAGATCATTCAACATCAGTACAACATCAAATGCCTTTGCTAGTTCTGCAATTGGTGCAGTGAAAATATTCGCTAGGCTGAACATCTTTGGTATCATCATATCTAGGGAGGACGTGCAATAAAGAGTCGTATCTGAGTTTTAAGATATGGAAATGGCATAACGATGAAAGTTCGGTTGAAAATAAGAGAATTGAAGGAAATGAAAGGGAGAGGAAATAAAGCTACCTGTGCCTTCTGTAGTCCGTCAGCTGCTTCTATTTCGATCTTCCGGTCCACACATACATCGCTTCCTAATTGCAAGCACTTCTTGAAAAAATTTGATGCATTTTCAACTTCACCCAAAGCTAGGTAACAACTTTGGATTGAGAATGTCAAAGAACAAACAAAAGAAAAGCAAAACCCACAAAAATAGTGTTAATAAATGAAAGAAGACGCAGAATGCTTCTTAATGTGTTACATTGGATCGCTAGAGTGTCAAATGAACTAAGCCAGAAGAGTAGGTAATAGTATGGATGTCAGGAGCCCTTAAAAAGGTAAAATCCCTATTATGAAAAACATATAGTATACATAAAA